TGCGCACACGAATATGGGCTTTCGTACATTCGCGCATATCTGCACGTATTGTCAACACGCATAGTCACGTAAAGGAACAAGTAAGCCTGGTATTGGACATCCATTGTCGGTGCGATGGCGAAAGCAATGCTACAATTTTAGTTGATTGGATCCCGAAAGAGAGATGGCGTTGATATACGTATAATAGCGATCATATGCATCTAGTTAAAGATGATCGTTTGGGACAATATCAATTAAGGCAATAGTGCTGAGACCATTGTATATAATATATCATCGTAGTGAACAATTTATTTTGTGGTGAATGAACCACGGCGCTCGCTGCTGCACACGTTCCTACGGTGAACAACATGAAGTCTGAGGAATTCAATGCTGGGATATTTTCTTGGGGTACTGCGATCAGGATAATCGTGAACTTTCTACTGGCGCGACGCCAATTAAGCTCATAACAATGATGAAAATGATATCGGTTTTGATTGAGAGCGCTATCTTGCCGGACATGAAGCCTACTTTAAGACATGATCGACATTATTATGACATCCTGGATCGCCAATGAGAGATTCTGAAGACCTCAGCGGCGAATTTTCCATGATGTTTTGATGATAAGACCGAGTCCGCAACACGGTGCATTGCGCCACACTTCCGCGTTTCGCTTCACTACAGGAGAACTCGGCGCTCCAGGATGCAGGTGACTCTTGATCCCACAGAACCTGTTGCTTCACCGCCTGGTTCGGTGCTTGGTACCGGCGTTGTTGCAGCCGTTGATGAAGATGTTGACTGGGCTGCCACGTTTGACATGGTGGCCTCCGTTGGCTGCGCATCTGGTAAACAAGGCAAACAATGGGACATGTATGGCTGTGTTTACAAACTCGTACCTTGCCTAATACTGCGGCGATTTGTAGAAAATCACTGTTGATAAAAAGTGTTGCACTTGGGCTTCTTCTTTTGTTTCGCAAGCTGACTCTGGGGCAGCAAGCCAACATATGAAAGCTCAGAGAGTGCGTTGGCCTAGGGCGATGCGCACACGATTGCAGCTCAGCACACTCTGTCATTACATGTGCAATCGTACACATGTCGCATATCGCCGTGCCACATGGCCATGTCGCGTTGCTATTGGATTGGTAATCAAAATTTATGTGAATTTGGGCTGACATGCTCGTGTGTGCGATGATCCGTTCACTTGTGTTCTTTGCTGTGCTTCGCTCGAGTTGCGCTCGATTAAATCTACGCTCCTTTCCAATGGCGTTGCCAACTTGACAAGTTTATGCGGCAAGTGTACCTGGTATGCTGAGTTGCAGGTTTGCTATTTCTGCCTCAAACACAGCGCTCATTTTCGTATTTACATATAAAATGCATACGTTTTACCAGAAACGGCGCGAAAAGGCGTAGATACAGGCCCTGCCTACATAAAATCTTTATGTACACTGTCGACAGTGCCCAAGACGCCTTGGACAATACAGGCAGACTCAGGGAGTCAGGGAAGTGGAAGTCAGACGCGCTGGAGTGTGTAGAAAGCGACCGATTCGGACGACGTCGGAGCCCTTGTGGAGGCGAGGTGGACCCTGAGTTGCGGGTGCTCAAGGCAGAGGACTGATCATTGTTTGAGACTTCATCATGTAACCTGGGTGTCTCAACGTGCCGTAATAATACATAATGTTTTCCGTTTCTGTGTGTTTACATTTTGACGACTAAAATTGCAAACACAAAATGGCGCCTTGAACGCAAATAACGAATTCGATTGTAACACTACTAAGTGGCTTGCCGTATTTGTGTAAACATTCCGCTGGTATTTAGCGTACAAGAAAGGCGGTCAAGATTGCAGGGCTAAGACTTGGTCCAATGTTACAGGGGTCTGCAGAGCCACATTGCTATCGCACGGATTTCAGTTGTTTTACCTGGTTCGAGCATGGAATGAGTTGCACCAAAATGGGGCTTTCTTGCCAGTGGTTCTTACCTGCTGGTGGCGCACCGGGGGCAGGCGCCTCTGGCCTTGCCGTCGCTGTGCACACCTGCATAGAAGCAGGAACCGCCAGAGTCAGATGCAGAAGCGGCTGCAGGTGCAGCGCGGCGGGCAATGTCCTCCCGTTACTAATCGCCCGCCCCAACGGTTATCCGCCTCTCAACATTTCATTGCACAGGTCGGTGAGGCCTCCTCGCAGAAAAGAGCACAGCTGCTCCTCCTGTTCCTGCATGGGTGGCCCAAAGACAGCACCGCACAAGCGCGAGGGTTGGGTCCCTTGCGACCAGGTGCTCTCCAGTTGCTGTGGCTGCGGCCGCTGCCGCCGCCATGCTTGCACCGGCAAATCAAGCCTCGCGAGATCTGACTGCCACGGTCATGGCAGGCGCCGCGGTCTTCCGCCGCCAATTTTCGCCGCTTTCGCCAGAGGGTTCGGCAAGCGTGGGTCGTGTCTGCCTAAGGCTCGGGAGGACCTACCATGGCGAGGCACAGGAGAGCGCAAACGCCGAAATGGCGGCATTGGGCGCTTCCTCCCAGCCCCATGGTTGGGATCCAACGGCCCCACACGAACTCCCTTAAGCTTGCACGGCACTCGCGGTCGGTTGCCTTCGGTTCCTCGGCTGCAACGAAAGGCGATCCCACGCTATAGCAACATCAATCCTCGCATCGCCGAATTCGAATCGCGACATTCGCCGGGCGCGCGGCCCCAAGATTGGTCGCCTGACCCACGAACAGACTGATTGGCTGGCCCACGGACGGATTGTTTGGCTGAACCACGGATCGAGACCGCATGCGCACTCGCTGTTCAGCTCACCTCCTGCCGGTGCTGATGTTCGATCTCTGCCGAGCGAGGAAACGTGTTAGCTAACTATCTGTGACGCTGACGGCTTCGGCGGAGAGCGCGGATGTCTTGTTTAGCGAGGCTAGCTAGCTCGGCGCCACGGCTGCCTGGCTTTCCCCCTCCCAGCTTTAGTCGCTCGCGGCGCGAGCAGTGCCGAGTGTGCGTTTCTGTCACGGACCTCTTGGCCGGTGGGCCGGGGCGACACTTGGTCGCAGCAAGCACACATTGCGGGAGGGCCGGTCGGAACGTCAAACGCAGTTCGCTGGGGGCTTAGCGGACAGCAACGGGCGTCGGTATGGGCGGTTTCTGTCAATTCATCGGAGAAGGACCTTGGGGACGCTGGATGATCAGGGAGTGGGAAAATTTCCGTGCGCGTTCCCGGTGGCCGATTTCTGGAGCGCGTCGCGGGTGTCTGCGGTGGCGTGTGCGGGCGCGGTGCGGCGGCGCGGGTCGCTGTTCGCCGCCGGGCACCACCAGGATTGAAGCTGCAATGTGGCCGGGGAATAGCAACGTGGCGCGGCGCGGCCCACCGGAGTGCAATTGCACCACGGACCGGCGGTCGGCCTGGTGCCCAACGGCTTCAACACAGGACCCATGTGCGCCCAGGCGATTGCCATAGAATATTCAACCCTTCCGCATCCAAAAATTTTATCTTACGCTTTTTGTTGCGTATTTTGTTTTCAGAGCATTATTTTCGTGTTTTACGCAGGCCTGGTTTTTACGCCATAAAACTGATCGCATTTACGATTTTACGCATAAAAATAGTTTTTATGTTTTTATGCATAAATATAAATTTTACGTTTTTATGCGTAAAAATGCATAAAACCACGTAAACACAACGTAAACACTGCCCGGTGTACATAAGAACAGTACACACAGACTTACGGAATCCTGAAAGTGGCAGGCAGATGCCCTGGAAGGGGCAGAAACGAGTTTTTGTTAAACGCCATTAGCGCCCTTGTCAAAGGCGAGGTGGACACTGTGTTGCGGGTGTGGAGATGGCGGAGGACTGATCATTGTACGCAACTTTCATCGTGTAACCTGGGTGTCCCAGGGAGCCATAAACACGTAAAAATAAGCCCTTTTGCAGATTTAGGTTTTTACGCGTAAAAACGTAAAAGTAAAAACGCAAACGAAAACATAAAACCAAGCCTGTTTTTGCGTTGCTCCGCACAAAAAGGCCAGGCGTTCCTTTACTATTTTATTAACTTTCTCCACAAAATAAGGGCAAGCGTTACTGTACTATGCGGAAGGGTGTAATATACTACGGTAACCTGATGTTGTAATTCGGCCGGGTGAGGCGTAAATATGCGTTGTGGAGGCACTCCATGGCTCATTTTGCGCAGCAGCGCGTCCAATTTCCAAACCATACGTAATCACGATGAATAGAGCTTCATATTGATACACCCGGCAGTATCGTTGCCCCTGCAGAGAAGTTCCTAATCGGCGTGGGAACAGTGTAGGACCCTTTCGTCTTTGATTCCAAAAGGCGCTACACTTGTTGGGAATCGTGTGATGATGCGAGGCAATTGGGTGCTGCAGGCACTCCAGGACCAATTACCCTGTGCGCAATCAAAATCATCAAATCCCCAGATTGATCTTCGGAGAGCAGCATGCTCAGCAGGTCTCTTAGAAGGGCTACACTGTGGGATTGCGCAATAATGCACAATGGTTCAGACACGCAAGCTGCCCATATCTGAACCTCACGGATTGTATGATAGACACGTGATCTCTTCATAGGGCTTGCACTGTTCCAAACATCCGCAGCGGGGCACCATCAACGAAGTTTAGTTTCGATATCTGACTACGGATTGGCAACAGCATCCATGTCCGGCCCGTCCAGGATCAACATCGCGATGCTGATCAACAAGCTGTGATCGCTGTCCTGTCCAGCCTGCTGCTGAAGACGAGGCGCGAGTCAGGCTCAGTGCGCCCATGGACATCCTTGCCGAGATCTCCCACGTCCTGGTCGCCTATTGCACTGCGTTGGCGCATCTGAAAAAAAAAAGGAACAGACTCATGAATATCCACCACCTCAGTCATGATTTCTTTCCAAGAATTGGTTGGTTTCTTGCAGTTTCTTTGTTTCTTGGAATTTTTGGCATGTCTTGCCATTTCTCGGATCGATTGGGCTTCTTGGTGGTGGGCTGATTTCTTGAAGTCTTTCATAGAACTTCCTGGTTTTCCTTGGTTGGCTTTCCGCAGAGGCTGGATTTCTGAACGGCAAATCAGGTGGGCCTCCGGGCCCGCCCAAATCCGGCGCACAGCACCGGCCCGGCTTATCAGCCCAGCATACGAGCAGGCGGCCCCCAAGCCAGGAGCCAGGGGCATCCCACCAGCCCCACCTTCCCCTGAGCTCCCACATCCTCGCGCACCTCCCCGCCCTACTTCTTCCCCCGGTGCCCCTCCGTGCATGGAAGACTCCGCGCGTGGCAAGGCCCTGCTCGCCGTCGGCACTGCGGCCTTCACGTACTACACGATCTGGCTGCTGCTCACGGTAGGCACACACCACAAAGAGGAGGGGGAAGGGGGGAAGGGGGGAAGGGCGCACATTGCTGGGCATTTGGCCTTGTCTCGGTCCCGCCCCGCGAGGAGACGACTGCAGCGTGGGGGATGTTGCCCTGGTGTCCCTGTCTGATCGCCGAGTCGAAGCCGCCCGGAATTTGGCGCTTTGTGGCTCCTGGCTGCCGGGCGGTTGGATTTTGGCGGGCCGGGCGCCTATCGCCGCTCGTTTTAGTCCGGCGTGGGTGGCGGTTGCAGGCGAAGGGGCCGGGGGGCGGAGGCGCGAACCGCGAGCTGCTTGGGCTGCTCGCCCCCAGCGGCAATGAGGCCTTTTGGCGCGTCTCGATTCGATTGGCTGCGCCTGCCGGGACTCCTTGCACAGGCGTCCATTGAACAAACCATAATGCCGCTATTCTCTGACAAAGTTATACCCTGTCTTGGTATGCCGCGTGTGTCGATTGACGCGGATTTGTTCGGCAGCCTGCTTCAATTGTCGGGCCAGCCATGGCAGTTGTCGCGGCCAGCGGGGAGCAAGCGCGCGAGCTGAGCTTCGCCGCAGCGCCCGGGCTGCTTGATTCACCCCTTGCCCGCCTGTGCCTGCAGCCGTTCGTTGAGGACCAGCACTTCCTGAGAAGGGTGTTCCCGCCCCGGCGCTACGCCGTCGTGGTGCCCGTGGTGTGCGGGGTCGCCCTGCTCTGCGTGACCCTGGTGCACCTGGGGGCGGTGATCGTGGGGGCGGCGCTGCCGGGGCGCGACACGCCCCCCCAGAAAGCCAAGTGAGGGGCCCTGGACTTTCTTCCTGCTGTTTGAAGCTGCAACTTCGCAGTCTGCGTTGCAAATCGCGGCCGCAACGCGTTGTCTATGGCCGGGATCTCGTTCTGTGATTTTATAATCTGGAGAACCTCAGGCTCGCAGGCATTGGCAAAGGATATGTTGTGCTGTGGTGTTGAATCTCCTGTAATGAAGGACATGATGCGCTGCGACGTTGAAACTGCTGTGTTGAAACTCTTGAGATCCGATGAACATAGGCAACAGTGCATCTGTGTGGCCGCTGAGAATCTCCCAATACTCTACACTTTCCTGCTGTTTTGTTGTTAGTTTAGCTGTCGATGACATCCTGCACTCTGCTGTTTATTGCTGTTGTCAATCAGATTGTGTGGGCATTCAGCAGCAAATCATATAGTGGCGGTGTCCATGTTGAGCAATGCCATTCCCTGGATGGGAGCAGCATTGCCACGCTTGCACTACACAAAGTAGTCTGCCATTGGGTTGAATACTCGTTGCTCCTTGATGAGGCTGCCTGTGACTCAGTTTGTGTACTATTGTAACAGCAGCGTGCCAATGGATCATTCAGTCCACGTCATTAAAATGCACCTCAAATTTGCCACCCAGGGCAAGTGCATGAATCAGTTGCAGTGGGCTGAAGGCATTGATTGCTAGTGTGAACACTGAAAGAATTACTTCTGAGATAAGGTTGCAGTTGTCAAGAAAACCCCCTTTCCCACATTAGGGACCAGAGGAATGATTTCTAGTGTTTGTGTAGCCAACTTGAGGAAATGTAGAGGAAATGTAACTTGTGGAATTTACGATCTACACTACCAAGTGTTCTGTGCATGACATCTATGCATGCTGTGTGACTTGAGAATGGTGCATTGCTCAAGACTGTGCATTGTGTTGTGAATTGTTGCACAGGAAAGACCAGTAGATCCTGCCATTGTCCACGAGCTGTGCTCCTCTGAACAGCAGCATCAGACGACAGTCGTGTGCTGTGCATATGAGTTTGAGTGGGGATGGAGATGCATCCGAGAATTGGCAGCAACAGGTGGAGGAGATCGTCGCGCTTTCCGCAATCTATGGGGAAGACTTCAGGTACAGCGATGTCCAAATGTTGTTGGCACAAAGTTGCACTGCACACAAGGTTGGCATGGGGCTGCATTGTTGATGCCTAATAAAGGTGGCATGTTTAATAAAAGGGGAGTTGTCGCAGTGTTGATGTCAATCAAATTGCACAGGGGCCCAACGATGCACAGTGTCAAAGGGATTGTGTCTCAGCCAATAGCAGCAAATTCAAATTTGTTCACAAAGTCGATTTCTGTCCTTGAAAGTGGCCTTCATGGCCCACAAGAGACCAACGAAAAGCTGGGAAAGGAAATGGAGGAGAAGAGAAGGCAGCGCATTTGCTGCTACCTATCTGTGCTGCAGCATGCGACAGATGTTGACCTTTATTGATGTCGGGCAGAATTGTTCCAGTATGCCCCTGATGTGGTTGTCGCCTTGCATTGCAGACCATCATGTGAAGGTGGTCTGCAAGGCATTTTGCTCGTTTTGATCTGTGCTGGGAACACTTCAAGGCTACATTGTGGACTGAAGTGTTCTTTGCTCACACAGCTGTCTTGTGCTATTGGTTAGTTTTTTTGCATTGTGGGGTGGAGGTGCAGAAATATTGAGGGGCCCAGCTTGACAATAGTCAGACAATACATTTTCCTGCTGGTGCCCAAATGAGGCAGGTGTGCTATGCAAGTGCTCACATTGCGGTTCTCCGCACGAAAATGTGACAATTATCAGTTCAGCCTTGTGGGTTTGCATTGCCGTGTTTTGGCCAGTCTGCCAGACGATCTTGCAGATGGCAGTGGTGCCAACCTTATGCAACTTTTCAAATTCCACTTGGCTGCATTGTTCCAAATGCAGCAAGCTTTGTCCTGGCAGTCCCCATCCCAGACCTCCAGGAATGGCTGCCTATGTGTTTCATGACATTCAGTGCACAAATCCTCAGTGACCCTGCCAAGTTGCAGCTTGTTGAGAGCTGATAGAGCTGTGCCCATGCGTGTTCACCTATTCATCACACTTTGCCTTGAGCAGGCACAAACACATGTTGGGAGCAAACAAAGCCATGTTGGAAGAACGGTTGCTGGGACACATGTTAGGCGCCCACATCTCCTATTGGCAGCAAGGGCACTTGTTTGTCATATGTTTTGGCTTGTTATTGTCTTCATTCTTGCTGATAATACTCTGGTAGTGTGTTGTTTTGTTCATTTTAGATAACACTGGCAGGCAAGAATCCTGCGCACATGCAACCTGGTGTGAGATATAGTATGTTGCAGTCTACCTGTGCGAAATCGATTCATGTGATCTTGAGGAGAACATTCAGCAAGTGCATTGCGTTGTATATGTGGACAGGAATGCAATTACTGCGGGAATAGGAATCATCAATGAACAGGATTAATGCAAGAAACCAAGTTTTGATGTATATTTGTTGGCACTTTGCAGGCTGGTTGGGAGCAAGGGGCTTCCTGAATTTTTGGAGCAAGGGGATCTTGATATCTCCAGCCTTCCAGACATTGAGTTGAGCTGTTACGATGTGACACTAGAAGGAGAGGCATATATTTATTTGGAGGCACCTGAGGGGGATGTCACAGTACGAGTGGATGATGGCTCAGCCGACTCGAGCAATGCAGCCACAGAGGGGCTAAGAGCTGGACAGGTGTGCTGCTGCTGCTGTGCCTGTTCAATTCCAAACTTTTTGCATTCCATTCAATAATTATCTTTATTCTTCTAGAGATGTTTCAGAGATCTTTTTTTAGATCTTTCAGAGAATATCTTCAACCATCATTCATGTTTGTTGTAGATCCTTGCTACACAGCAGGTGTGTTATTGCGACTGTTCGATTGCAAATTGCTTTGCATCATGGTTAACAGATGGTGTGCCACCCTCGCACCTCTTAGTTTGAGTAGTCAAGGGCATTTCGCATCCTTGCTGGGTGCACAAGGCGATATATTGTTCCAGAAAGGTTAGGGCATGATTGTCACACAAAACTGGAATGATGCTTTTATCCTGTGGTATTTAATATCCAGTATGTCTGCTCATGGAACCTGGAGTCCCAGTCATTGAGAGCGGTGAACATTGTCACCTGAAACCAAAAGCAGGGATGGAAGAACCTGAAACCAAAAGCAGGGATGGAAGAAATAGGAAAACAACAGAGACCCCAGTGCATTGTGATGGAAAAAACACTTGTGGAAATTTTCTGCAGCACCAGGAGCATGAGTACAAACTCATCTGCATTTTGTGTGGACAATGCATGCTTTACGAGCCCAAAAGCTCATGCCCCGAAGTGGTGCTTGTCCTGTGATGTTTAGGTAAAGTCTCAAGAAGCCCACTTCACTCAAAAGTTTAAGGAGCCTGCCAGCTGAGCACGTTCATGATATTGTGGTTATCAGGGAGAGGCTGACCTCCTGGTAGCCACTGTGCAGAACCAATTCATTCTGTTTGTTGGGTGTGATTAATTGGCAAGGTTTATAGATTCAAGTCCGTAATGGAGGAATTTTGAGTGAATTGACTTCATTTCACTGAACCAGCAATGTGCCTGTGGCCAGGTTGAACATCTTCCTCCCCTGTCACTGGGCCTGACGTTCCATCCAGCATATCCTTGTTCACAACCTCCAAACTTCCGACTGAGCTGCATTTGGCTCAGCAACATGCAGCTGAGCAAGCTCTGTGGCCAGTTGGATGAGTTGTGGGTGAAAGATGGTGCTGGCATGCCAATATGCTTTACGTGGATAGATTGGATCAAGACGTCTGCCCTCGAGTTCCTGGGGATTGGAGCAACTTTGCTGCTCAAGAAGCCCCCCTCTGACATTTCGGAAGGTCTGCGCCAGAATGGCAAATGTTCCATTGATTTTTTTTGTCATATTTTGATACTGTTGATGTTTTCAGCAGTTTTTGGTACTACTTAACAGACCGACTATTAGTTTTATAGTCACTTCCAGATGCTATTGGACGAATTGACAACAGGATGCCTCCTCCACCCCCTGTCAAGTTGGACTGTATCCCTGCTGCCTGTAAAGTGTCCAATATCTGCAAGATCTGTCCTGAAAGCTGTATTTTACTTGCTGTATGGCTGAGCAATTGTGCACCCCAGCTCAGACCACTTAGCTGCCTGCATCGCTTGCACTGTTCAGTGGATGTCTTACAGCACAGATATTGGTCCCTCATGGAGAATGTGCTGCCATGGAGCTCTCGCAGATCTATCGTCGACAGTACATTCCCACATCCAGAAGTTGCCCACACTGTGGATGCGTTTGTCAGGTGTGGATTCTCGAGCAAAGGGCCACGACAAGGCAACCTTGGATGCAACCGTGTTTCAGATGCACCGTTTCGACCAGCAGCGTAGGATTGAAGTCTTCAGGCAGGGTACCTGGAGCTGCCCCATCTGCATGGATGTTGTGTCGGGCCAGCAGTGTGTGCGGCTGCCAGCATGCCAGCACTTTGCATGTTTCGCTTGCATGTCTGCCTATTGCAAGGTCAATGTGGCCGATGGCAATGTGAACTTGAAGTGTCCGCAGCACAAGTGCACCGTCACGTTGGAGCCCCACATCTTGAAGAAGTGCCTCAGCCAGGTGATCCAGGGCTTGGGATACTGCAGCACAGTGCTAGGATGCTTAAGGCACTTGAAATAGCGAATAGTTAGATACTTGGGACCCTAAGATACTGTGTTTGTTTGAATCCTTCAGCATGGTGATGTGACACTGGGCCTTGTCCTGCCCAGCTACTCGGATAATAAACTGATGTTGAGATAAATGGCATGCAAAGAAAACTTCAACGCTCAGGCCATCGCATTCAACACTTTGTGTGCGAACAGGGATTAGTTTTTTTCTTGTTGAATGTGACGATCAAGCAATCCGAGAACGGATAATTGTGAGGACTGAATGGCTCTGCTTGGATTGCTCGTGCGCCAAGGGGCACACATGATACATGATGTTTGAAAACGTGTGTGTGGTGCACACACGGACATTTTCAGCACACATGCTTTGTCCTTTTCTGCCCTGCCCAGATTGTATTTTGCGAATTCTGCATCTTGTTCCATGATTCAGGAGGAGCTACAGCTCCCTTGTTCCAGATAGGCAGCCCAGACTATGATTGCTTCAGAAGTCGTTGCTTTCCAGCATCTTGAGGTGATCCCCTATCATGCTTCAAAGCCCTTTGGGAACAACTGGCTGGAAGCGATCCAACAATTAATTCGATTGGTTATTTATTATCTGTTTTGGTTATTATTGTTTAAATACGATTGGTGTTTAACACCAATCGTAAGGAGCTAGTCAGCACAGGTTTTGTTTTAAGGGCGTAGCTGTATCCTGACAACACATAAAACCCCCAAAAGCAAAATAGAAATGAAGCCGTTTGGCAGCCAGTCCTGTTGTTATTAGGCCCAATGGCTTGACAGGTCCATTGTCTTGCAGGAGGACTATGAGCGATGGGAAGCCCTCACCCTCCAAAGAACACTGGATGGGATGAAGGATGTTTGCTACTGCCCTCGTTGCCACTCAGTCTGCCTTGAAGAACCAGGGAATTTTGCTCAGTGTGCAAAGTGCCTCTTTGTGTTCTGTACCAACTGCTTTGACTCCTATCATCCAGCAAGGTGAGCTCCTGCGTATGTCAATTGATGTGTGGCTGTTGCATTTGTCTTTTCCACGACAGATTGAAGAACAAGCAGATCGGGTTTGCTGTTGACATGTTTCTGCAATATTCGCCTCTCATGGATGCAAAGAAAAAATTGCCAATTTTAACACGATGGCTTCAGCATTTGGGGGCCATCAGCTGGGCATTGTGCAGGCATTAAAGCACTGTGAAAATTGCTGTTGTGACACTTTCGTTAATTGGCACATCAGAAGCACATGCATGCAGAGTCAGAAGAGACAGGGCAGGACAGCTTGCAAATCGTGTGTCGCCTTGGTTTGTCAAAAAGATTCCATGTTGGCCACACAAAGCAGAGTGAGCTCTGACATATCGCCAGTGCTCACCCAGACATCTGAAGCCTAACTGCTGTGACTCAAAAAAGTATCGGATCAGCTGGATGCTGAACGTTGGTGGGATTGTTATTGATGGATTGTCTGCCAAAATTTATCTGTGCCTCAAAACTGATGGAAAAATCAAGCAGCGCCTTTCCACACATGACAGTGGCCAGAAGTGCTTTGCCTTGTCAGTGTGCTCGTCATGTCCAGGTTCCAGATATTATGTTTTTGACAGAATGGAGACACACAATGGGCGTGTGAGCATCCATTTGCAGTCTGTCTCTTCCATGGTGCAGCATCTGTTAAGAGATCTTGGGTGCAACAAGCAAATCACGCAACACTGTAACAAGAAGAGATTCACCCAAGATGGCCTGTGTACATTGGCTTGAAAGTCACTGAACCGAATGTAGTGCTGTAGGCACCTAGGTCCTGGACTCAGTGGCCACGGCTGTCGCCTAATTTTTGCTCTGTGATCTGCCCACTGTCTTCGCTGTCAGTGTGTGAACCCACAGGAGATGCTTGTAAAGCTGTTGCTGTGATCTGATCCCTTGTTTGTCCCATGCTCTTGCAGCCAGTGTGTCACCCCAGAGGAGAAAATCGCAAAGCTGCAGAAGGCGGCCGAGGATGGCGCGAGCAGGAAGGAGCAGCAGCGCCTGCTGATCGACCTGAGGCAGCAGGAGAAGTCCACGGCGTTCATCGAGAGCAACATGGTCATGTGCCCTGGCTGCTGCATGTACGTCCAGCATTCTGGCGGCTGCAACAAGATGGCGTGCACGTACTGCCACTGCTACTTTTGCTACAAATGCGGCCAGCTCATCGATGGCTATGACCACTTCTGGGGGGAGAGGACCTGTGACTTGTTCGACATGGAGGCCATCGCGGAATGGGAGAGGGAGATGGCTGGGCAGATTGATGGTGGCCGAGAGGATGCTGCCGATCTAAGGCGGGAGGCGATGGGGAGGGAAGCAGAAGCCAGGTGGGATGGTTGGCGTCTACTGCCATAGCACTATCATCTCTTGGTTCTGTTAATTGAGTGAATTGAACGAGAAGACGAATGGACGAATTGAGATAAGCTTGGGGTCCACCTGTGGTGGAAATCTGCTGGGTACATCTTTCTCTGTTGCCCATGTGGCTGTGGCAGTGCGCCAGCACTGTGTTCTCTAAAATGTTGTTGGGCCCGCTGATGTTGTGGTAGATTGCTGCGTGATTAGGAGATCTGTGCATCATTTCTCACAGCACAGAAACTGTCTAGCACAATTTTGTGTGTTCAGGGAGGGGTTGCTGATTTTACCTTCCCCTTTCCCAAGTAATTTCTGCCATTGTTGTCATGAAGTCCTCATGGAGTACGTTCATTGAAATGTGACAAGTTGAAAGATCTTGTACCTATTAGTTGTTGCCAGGCGCTCAGCTGTAGTGCAGAATGGCTGCATCGTCAGCACACCTAGTAAGGCAAACTGTTCACTTGTGTGGTGTAATTTGTAACTGGGTGACAAGGGAAATCTCAGGCAACACTTTGCACTGTTCTGTTGGTTGATGCTTAAGCCTCTTACGCTGGCCCAGTTGGATGCAGCAGGCACCGTCGCTTGCAAGTTTGTGAAGGCCTGAAGTCCAGCATCACTGTTTGTGTTCCGACTGGCTCATAGTCATCCTTTCCAGCCATGTGCAAACGTTGGATTTCGGTAGTGTCCAGGCCGGAATGAGTACATCGGACGCGAATGCTATGTTTTACTGGAGAAAATTGGCCCTTTTCCGACCACCTGGTCTACTAAGATCTTTGCATTACACTGTTTCATCACACTGTTTGTCCCTTGTGTGTCTCGTGATCCCGAAAGGGCCCACAGAACCTTGAAACTGGCAGTCCTCATGCATGGTGTCTGCGGCGTTCACAGGGGCTTTGTTGCCAGAAGGAAGTGGTGCCCACAATGTAGGCACGACAACTACAAGATCGACAGGAACAATCACATCAAGTGCTGGGCCTGCGGCCACGGGTTTTGCTACCTCTGCGGCATGCTGCTTGCCAGGGGCGGTGTGGCGGCGCATTTCAACAAGACGGGGTGCAAACAGCACAGCGATGATTGACAGACGGCGGGTTGTGAGATGGGGTATTTTATTGGCTCCAAGCCGTGGCGGTGCTAGAAGTGTCTCTTTGTATGGCGCAATTGTTTTGTGAACGAGTTGCAAAGAAGGACTGCGTAGGCCTTGGAACAGCAAGCCTCAGTACCCAAGCACCTTGCTGCTCATCATCTTAGGGGATCTTTAGGCGCCACGTTGCTTGGTCCTTCAAGCGGCACAAGCACCTTCGAACAGTGCCTTAAAGTTGCTCAGTAGCGCATTGAATTTTTTTGTTGTATTGCATTGCTTGGGAGAGCGGCAACCGACGTGTTCCTGGCTGCACAACTTCGGGCGGTTAAAGCACAGCATGTGTTCGGTATATACGGTACATATACGGCATGACTTGGATGATAGCACAGGCCAGCATGCCAGACTATACCCTTGCGCCTGCCCTGCGGCCTGGCTTTCTCGATCGCGTTGCTCGCACAAAGACTCGCCAGGCCCGGAAGCCTCATGGCGCAAACGAATGCTGTCTGAAGGTGACAGCATCTCAGTGGATGGCTTGTGGGGGGCCTGGCCTGTGCGCCCCGCTGTCCGCAGCAAGATCACTTTCGGGGCTGCTTCCCGTGCAACGCTGGTTCCTAGAAAATGCTGCCTTTGGCCATTAGGGGCTGAGCGACTCGCACAGGGCAAGCGGCAAGGCGCCGTCAGCCCAAGAAGAAATAGAATTAACTATCCTGTTAATGAGTTTCTGCCTAGGACGACGATTGGGTGGGCGCGCGACGGCCAGGTCGGGCCGTTCCGCCCTTTGGGACAGTTTGGGCCATCCATCAGCCGGTTTCTGTCACCCCTGTACTCGGGGTCAGTACTGCCCGACGCATCCAAGGGCGGTGGGGTTGATCCTTGTACCTTGGGCGCAGCCAAGGGGACCGGTCAAGCTGGCCCTTGGGTTTGGCGGGGAGTTTGGCGGCAAGTGGGAGCGGCTATTTTAGGCGCGACCTGTGGCGCCCCCCTTTATCTTGTTTCGCTTCGCGCCAACACTTTGGCACAACCCGGAACCACAGAGTGGTTCGACCTGCCGGCCTTTGCGCCGAGTCCTTTCTGTATGAACCCCAGCCCTGCCGAACAGTGGCTGCGGGCACAGGCGCTTCGCTTCAACCAGCGCCTCCCTGACCGTCCTATCGAGGTCACGTGGGTTTCCGACCCCCGCTTACTCCCCCGCTCAGTCAACAACCGAGTCGCCAGGCCGGACTTTACGGCTTTCCCGGCCTGGTTCGACGTCCGGGAGACCGGCCAAGGCCAGACCGTCGCCGCGGCCTTGGGACCCAACTCCGGTTACTTCCAGGAGTACGCGAGCTGGGCGCCGTGGGTAGCGTGGCAGTTCGACTACACGGCGGCCTTCGTGGACCTGGTCGCCCATCCAAGTCTCCCGCCTTCGATCCGCGAACTCCTCTTGCCGTACGTCTACGCCTCGGTGGCCATTACCGAGCGGCAGGTTGACCAGCTGCGCCTCCATCAAGTGCACGCGAAGCATCGCGGCACCGGGCTCGAGGGAACCTGGCGGGCGCTGCAGGCCCAGATCTGGCTCAGCGAGCCCGAAGGCGGCTTCACCACCGACACCATCGACGGGACGCTGAGCGCCATTCGCAAGGAGCTCCTCACCCAGGAGGTCAAGCTCGCGACCAAGGCGGCCGCGGCCAACCGGGCATCCAAGGCGGGGAGCGGCGATCCTCCTCCCCATTCGAGCGGCCAGTCGGCCAAGAGGGGCAAGCGCCGCAATCCTCCTCAAGCGGCGCGTCCTCCTCCGGACGCCTGATTGACTTCCCGTACAACCGCACCCGCGGGCGCCTCTCGGCATGGCGGAGGATTGGAGCGCCATCGCACGTGTTGCGATGGATCCATTCGGGCGTCCCCCTGCAGTGGGGACCGCAGGGCCCTCCCCCGCCTTTCGAGCAGGGGGAATACCCGATCCGTTCGGCGGAGGAGCAAGCGGGCTGGACGGCCCTCCGCGAGGAATATTTGGCGTCGGGAGCAATTGTCAAGGTAGACCCGGGTCCCGACTCGCGCATTTCGCGGGCTTTTCTGGTGGAGAAAGCGCGCGAAAATGGGGTGATGAAGTACCGCTTGTGTGTCGATCTTCGCCGAGTCAATCGGCACCTTCGCAAGATGGGTTTGCGGTATGAGAAGCTGCGGGATTTCGGGCAGCTGTTGCGACGGGACGATTTTTTAGTCGGATTTGATATTAAGGATGCCTACCATCATTTGAGGATGCGCTTGGCTGATGAGTGTTTTTTGCAATTTCGAATGGGCGGGGAGGTCTTTGCTTGCCGAGCCCTCCCCTTTGGGCTCTCTTTATCGCCTTACTTTTTCACTCATTTTATGTTGGTAGTTACCCGTTTCCTTCGATCTCCGGGTTCAAGTGCCAAAGCGGCGCGCAAGTTCCGTTTTGGCAGTCTTGCGGGGAATGATTCAATCTTCCGTTATTATGTGCGTTATACGGTTGATGACCCCGCCATTATCCTGGCTTACCTGGACGATTTTTTGGCTGCCATGAGTGACCCCCGAAAATTACGGGAATGGTCCCAATTAGTTAAGGAGATTTTCGGGGCCTTGGGTATTCGCTTCAAAGACAGCAAGTGCCAATGGGAACCCGTCCAGGTCAAGCGGCACCTGGGGGTGGTGGTGGACACCACCTCGTGTCGTTTTTTCGTTCCACGGGATAAGGTGGCAACCATTGCCGACAAAGCCCGGTTTCTTAGGGCCCGGCGTTGGGTGGTGGCTCGCGACCTGGCCCGTTTTTGTGGGTTGGCCATTTCCGTTTATTTGGCCTTCCCCCTTGCTCGGTTCTTCCTTCAAAGCCTTTATGCGGTGCTCCGGACCAAGCGCTCTTGGCGGGATCGTCTACCGCTCACCCCGCAAGCGTGCCTCGATCTGGAGGCGTGGAGCAATCTGCACCGCTGTGATGGCCGCCCCCTCAATCCCGATGCCGTGCCGTTTGCGGGCACCTTGGCTACGGACGCTTCCTTGACGGGCTGGGGCGCGACGTTCACCGCACCGCATGCCGATCAGCCGCGGCTGGCCAGAGGCTTCTTTGATCGATCGTTAACGCACATCAATGTGCGTGAAATGCAGGCGGTGGCGCTGGCCATTCGGGCCTTTTTTCCGCCCGCTTCCCCCCCGATCTCGGCGCGGGTCCGCCTGCTCGTGGATTCGCAGGTGGTTCTTTTTTGCATCCGCAGCATGACGACCAATTCCGACCAGCTGCGGGGCCCTCTACGCCAACTGCAGCGGATCTGTTCGGCCCGCTCGCTGCTCCTCGATCCGGAATACATTCCGTCCAAGGACAACACCATTCCCGACCAATTGTCGCGGCTCCGGGGTGGGGAGGACTATCGCCTCAATCCTTCCATTTTCAAGGCGATTACAAGGGCGTTCGGGCGGCGGACAATCGACCGTTTTGCTTCCCAACGGAATTCCCTTTGTCCCCGCTTCAACTCGCTTCATCACGAGCCGGAGTCGGACGGAGTGGATGCCTTCCGGCAGAATTGGACGGGCGAGACCAATTGGGCCAACCCGCCTTGGTCTCTTCTCCCGCGCCTCATGGCCTTCTTGACGCAGCACGTGGAGGTGGAAGCGGTGGTGTTGGCCCCCGATTGGCCCTCCGCCATTTGGTTCCCGCAGCTCCGCCGGATAGCCTCGCGGGAGATGGCCATTCCCCGTCGGCCGAATATGTTCCTTCCGGGGGATCCCGCTCTTCCGGCCGATCTGCCTCCCCCGAGGTGGAATCTGAGGGCGTTCCACGTGCAGCCGCGGAGTCGGACACCGCCTCCAGTGAGGTGACGCCGCGATCCGCCCCAGGGTCGCCGGTGGTGGACCCCCTCCCGGAGGAGGCCATGCCGCCCGACCACCCCCTCTTCGGTTGCGATGTGGACGGTCTTTCGGCGTCGGATCGCTCCTGGATGCGCGGCCAATTCCTGGCCTCTTACACGGAGTCTACGCGGCGCGCCATGCATTCCAAATTCGACAAGTTCGCCGCTTTCTGCGCGAACCACGACCTCGTGGCGTTACCGGCCAGGCCGTCGTCCGTCTACCGCTACATTCGGTTTTTGCGGGAGGAAGGACGCGTGGGAGTGCGGAGTCTACCCCAGTATCTGGCGGCCATCTCCATGGTGCACCAATCCATGGGCCACATTAACTTTTCGGCCTTCGATGCCGTCACCCGCCGGCTCACCCGGGCGTGGAGGCGCGATGCCCCGGAGCCGGCGCATTCGCATCGTCCGGTGTCTACCTCGGTGATGCTCGCCATCCTGGCGCTCGGCATGGCTACGGCGGACCTTCGCCTCCTACGGGCGGCCTGTTCGGCAACGCTGGATTTCATCTTTTTCAATCGGGCGCAAAGCGGCCACCTGATCTTACTCGAGGACCTTCGCCTCGAGAATGGCCTGCTGGTCTTTCGCGAGCGGCGAACCAAGCTTTGCGCCTCCACGGACCCGCGGGTGCGCTGCCGCTCCTGGCCTTCCAGCGGAGCACCCGCGGTGGTGGATCTTTTTCTTCGCTGGTCTGCGGCCCGCGACAAGGCGTGGGCGGACGCCGGTGCTTCCCCGCGCCATTTCTACACCTTGCCGGGGGAGGCCGATCCGTCGGCGCCGACCGTCTCCAGCTGGTTCCCGGTCCTCCTCCGCGCCCTACCCTCCCCGCCGCCCGAGCACTTCGATCATCACGGCCTTCGTGCGGGTGGCGCCAGCGCCTGCTACTCGCTGGAGGTGCCGGAGGGGCGCATCCGCGCGTGGGGCGAGTGGAGGAGCAACGTCATTTGGAAGTACATCGATGTGTACCGCCTCCCGTCCGAGTGGGACTACCGGCTGTTTGGCTGGATGACGATTACGGCCCGCGACTTGCACGCCCAGTACGGGCATCTTTTCTGCCCCGGCGGGGCGTCATCGGCCCAAGAGTGACCAAGGCATGACCACGCCTTCGCTCCGGAGGAGCTGCACCGTGCCCCAGTGTGAATGGGCACATTTCAAGTGGGTCGCCAATCGGGTCTTGTTTTAGTGAGGTGATGGACACCAAACTGTGAGTGTTGTAATGTATTGTCGTGTGGGGAACACGGGGGGGGTTGAAGGAGACCGGTAAGGCAGAAACCGCTCGCCCTTCAGATATGCATTTCTTACCCTTCTTGCCAATCGGAGAGGAATGTCGATGGATGGGCTACATCGCGCCAGTGGAGATGAACGCCAATGGATGGGCAGCATCGCACCATTCCTTCCCAAGGCGCAGCCTCAATTGGAACATTCCAGCACTAAATGGCTGTCGCCTTCTTTGCCTTTTTGCATAGAAATAAATTACTGCCTGCACCAAATCGGTGACTGCTCGCACTACATCACGTGCACACTATGTCCTGACGCCAGTTTTAGGGTTAATTTTAGTTTTACTTTTGGTTTTAGTTTTAGTTTAAGGTTTAGGGTTAGGGAAAATTTAGTTTTAGGTTTTAGGGTTTAAGTTTTAAGTCAGGCAAGTTTTCTAGGGAGTTAGTGCAAGCAGTCACCGATTTACTGCAGAAAGTCACCGATTCGGTGCAGCCAGTAATTGTATGCCTTTTGCATAAGGTACGGTTCAAGGCACGGGTGGCACATTGCTCCCCTGTGGGCAGCGCCCGCACATCGCATTTGGTCGGTTCATAAGACATAGGCAGCTTCGAATCCAAGTGTGCCGTTACTGTTGATGTATCGGCGCACCACAAAATGCCAAGGCGTCAACATGCCAATCACATCGACGCGATTGCGATGCACGATATCGGGCACCGTAACAGTCTTGTCAGCCTTGTCAACATCGCCAAGTCGATGGCTCCTCTTTGCAGACAAGCGCCACGGTCTCGATTGGCAGCCGCCATGCAGTTGCACTGCTTAGTGCTCAGTGGGTCGCCAGCCAGCTGCTGTGTGGCAGCATTGACGCGCAGCCTGGAATGAAGGGTGCAACATCCGAGCAGCTTCCTCTGATTGGTATCTTTGCTACACGGATGCATGGACGTGACGTCACGGCATTGATCAATGTGGCGCACGAATACGGCGTCCAGGGGCCACGTCAGCTGGGCGCAAGACGCTGACCACACTTGGATTGGCGGAACAGACGCAGTCGCCGCCATCTACACGGCTACGATGTGCGCTGCCGTATGTGCTGCAATATGTTGGCTTCTGCCACAATGTGGCACACATGCCGCAAAGAAATCGCTTCAATGACATGTTGTGGATTGCAAGGCCGACTTCGTTCGCCCACACGCGCCGTGGATGCCATGGTCTGTTGCCACGCGTTGTCCCAAGCAGAACTGGCACGCTTACAGACCACCTCACTCATCGGTTCAGTTGGCTGGGCCATCCTCTTGGAGTTTCGACTTGCACTTGTCCATCATAAGTTCTTTAGGGAGGCTGTCAAACGTGTGGGTGTCCGCTCGACCGCTGAAATGACGCCGCAGAAAAAAGTGCCGCGATTTCCGCAGAGCTGCACACCTCTCGCGGTTCCATGGACAGGCAACTTCTTCCTTTGCACACAGCCCTGTTCCCCTCGCCTTCGACACGACAAAATTGAAAGAACGGCCGAGCAACAGCTCTTGAATGCTTGATGTGTAACATGGCCACCATGAACTCCAGTGGTTGCCTTGTGGAGCAGATGTGAATTGTGTGGACGGCAGGATGGCATGGCACCAGGTACCTTCAGGGATCACTCATCGCAGTCGATGCTGGAGAATTAAGGTATCGGAACTGCATGCCGACAGTTGCTTCCAAACGACGAGATCGCACACTTGCCGAATCAGCAGTCGAGCGTGCGCAAACACACTGAACCTGGCAAATGCGCCAATGACCGTTACAGGTATCTCTGCAGACCAATCGACATTTCGGAAGACCCCAACCCGGGAATGCTCGAGAATTAAGGTATCAGAACTGCATGCCGGCAGCTGCTCTCAAACGACGAGATCATACCCTTGCCGAATCAGCAATCGGACATTGGCAAACACACCGAAGCTGGCAAATGCGCCAGTGACCTTTACAGGTACCTCCACAGGCCAACCGGACTCTCATGCGACCTCAACCCGGCATCGCAAACGCGTTAAATAAAAATCAAAAAGACAATTCATAGTGTACACCCTTCCTGCATACTGTGGCTTCCTGAGCTCACGGTCATCCCGGCGTGAACAACATGTCGACGGAACACAAGTCGGGCCGGAGCGAAGCAAGAAGCAGAAAAAGCAATCAAATCAACTCGTGGAAAGCCGCGGACAGCCAAAAGGCTTCCAGTGCCCCGAGTCAGTCCTGCGATCCCTTCCCGTGGTGTTCATCTTCGATGGTGGACATTCAATGCCCTTCGCGCACACCCTTCCCGCACAGCCCCTCCCGCAGACCGCATAGCTAAACACCTATCCCCTTTGCCGTTATTCTGGTGCTCCTATGGCCACAAACAATACCACCCTGCTACGTCGAACTACTTCACCTGGTGTGCTACCTCCTCGTCCATAAGCACACGCCTTCCCCGTCACTGCTCGCTGCCGGCCACGAGAATTGCCTCAGCTCATGGACAGCTCCACCAGATGATACGCATCCTTCTACATAAATAGTCAACGGCATCTGCCGCTGATACATTTGTTTGGGTGATGTCCTATTTCCTCCCCTTGTACACTGACCGATACCCCTGCTGCTCCAATCCCCAGGACTGTACCGATGAGCACAAATACAAGCACCAGTCCGTGCGAAAACCCACTTAAATCCCCAAGGTCGCAACCCCGTACGTACCAATAATATAAAATTGTGCATTCCAGCGCCAAATCCCCACCACCGCAATGCTGCCGAACGGATGCCATCCCCACACCCTTTCCGCTATGGCGCATCGCTTCAGATCATGGAGAGCAGCGCTACACAGGAGGCACCATTCGACCTCACTGTTTTGTTCGAAACTTATGTTCGCCTGCCCCACCCCCGTTGCCCCCTTCCTCCCTTTGTCTTTTCACTTCGCCTCTCTACTTTCTGACAAGCATAAATACTGAACAGGTTTCCCCGCAGCTGGACACGCCCACCCATATCCCAAGTGCCGCTGTCCGTGGTACACCCACATCCCCAAAAAGCCCTCCGCCCGCCCGTTTTGGCAACAATGTTCCTGTTTGTACATGTTCGCAACTCTGTGCATTATTCTGACTCTGCGTTCGTGCTTATTATTTCAAGATAAACAATGCCGGGAGCGCACCATTCAAAATTGGAAAAACCTCCCTCTTCCGGTGCAATAGGGATTCATTCAGCCATCAAGCGCAGAGCGCTCGCGATTGGCCGCTCCAAGGCTGCCACTCGAACTCGACCTTTGGCAGCTACCCCCCCCGCCTAGGCTCAGGATGGCAGCGGACAGTTTCATCAACTCCACATCACCTGGGTGTGCTTCCACAACCAAGAGAGCAGCCTGCACAGGCCCCAAAATCCTAAACAGCAGTACGCGGAGGCCGTCGATGACCACTTGGTGCTCCTGCCTGAGGTTCTGCTTAAGGCGATCCCACACAAAGCTCAGACTGTCGGGAGCGTAGCCTTGCTGGCTGTCGGATGCCCGCTTCAAGGACCTCGCCTGCGAGATGGCATGGCAGACTTTCAGCCATAGGTCACTGGCATCAATTTGCGCTTTTGGTGCTTGCCGCACAATTGCAGTGTTGCGCTTAACCTCTTCTTGTGGATTGGTGTTTCTCACATGCTCATGAGATGTCCTGAAGGTGCTTGCAAGCTGCTGAATTACTGAAAGCCATACATCACTGATGGAGACCACATTCACATGGGACCACATGATTTGGAATAAATTGCTGTTTGATGATATTTGATGGCAATTACTGAAAAGGAACCAAATGATGCCATTCCAATTGCGGTTTGTCCACTATTCAAAAGCCGTAAGTCTATGATCCAAATTTCTGTTATTCTTTTCAGCAACTTCGTGTTGTGGGGCAGCATGACAGCCTCCAACATTTTATGCAAATCAGTTCATGTAAAAGCATTACGCAGCATGCATCTGTGTGTATGTTTTAACCTCAAGACCCATTGATGAAGCATAGGGCCGGGATAGGCAGAAGTGCCAATTGGCCTGCTGATATAAAGCAGGCAGCTGTTCATTTACAATGCCTCCACTGGCGAGATCAGATGCGTGCAATTAGAGAAGCGCATCAAATTACACGCACAGAATCGCAGGAGATAGCGGGGAACGGAGTCATTATTGCATTGACAATATCATAGTTTTTTGTGCAGTACTATACTGTAATGTTGTCAATAACATGAATTCATAAAACATCGCAATGTGTGTACATTGCTTATTGATTGCGTTTTGGATTCTTGAAAGCAGGGCAAGGCCGCGAGCCCACCTCCTCATTGAGCCGTGCCCTCTCCTCGTAGATGCGCTGCAGGCGCTGGAGGTGCTCCGCCCTCAGGCCGAGCACCGCGCCCCTCTGCGTCGCATCCAGGTTCAGGATCGTCACGCACTTCTCCCATCCCACCCTCTCCTCGGGGGCCAGATCCGTCCGCAGCTCCGGCGCGCTCCCGCCGCCGAAGATGGCCCCCCTGGGCACGCGAGACTTGATGACGCGCACCGCGTGCTCGGCCGTGCGGGAGAGCATGGCCACCAGTGTGCCCACCAGCTCATCGCCCGCGTGCACGCCGCCCATGAAAATCCCGTTCGCCTCCAGCACGTTCCTCAAATCCTGCACCTGCGCCGCCATGTCTCGAACGGCGGCGCTTGCATCTCCGGGCGCGGATATCAGCCAGTCCGGCACGTCCACAGGCGCGCCCTCGGCTGCGATCTGGCCGCCCATGGTCGGCGACTGGGGCCCGACACCGGCGAAGCCAGGCTGCACGGATTGCATCGGAAGGCTCATGGCGCCCACGTTGGTGCTCTGGATCGGAAGGCTGACGGCGCCCATGTTGGTGCTCTGCTGCATTGATGGCTGGTCTGCGCCGACCAGCAACACCGGGGGCGACTCGGAGCCCACAGGCTTCACAGGCCCGTAGCTGTTGCTGGAGAAGAGTCTCATTCTCGCGCGTTTGAAGTCCCGCAGGCTGCCTCCAAACGGGGCTTCGTCGTCGTCCGACTTGTGGCCGGTCGTAATGGGCGGATTGAACATGGCAGCGGAGACGCTTTCCTCTACGTACTCCGACGGCCAGGCGAGGGGGGGCTCACCCGTCTTGAGCCTCTTGATCCTCTTGGGATCGCCGGCTGACGACGAAAGTCCGGTGGACTTGGACCGAAGGATGCTGCCGGCCACCCCGGCACCCAGAGGCCACAAGTCTCCAGACAGGGCGGAACGAGCGGTGGGGAGCAGCTGAACTTGGCCTGACGGAGCCGCGGGAGTGGCCCTGATGATGGGGTCGTTTTGGTTCGGAGTCCAGCTAGCCCTTTCTTCGAGGATCGCAGGCTCGGGCCCGCGCTTCTGCGGGCCGCCGCCGTAAATTAGCTCGTCGCCGCCCGAGTGAAAGGAGGTCGATGGTTCTGGGATTTGCTGAAGAGGAAAGCCTGCGTTCATTGCGTTGATGTTATGTGCTTTTCAGTGTTACATTTTCGGTGTTCATATTGTGCATTTCGTCTGCTTGGCTGTCGCTTGCGTTGCTGTACAGCAGAGCAGGTTGCACCATTCGTGCAATGATGAATAGTTTTGTGTCACATTGGGCACAGTGCAAAGCTTGCAATGCATTTATTGGCAATGCGTAGGGGATGGTGAATAATGGGAAATGTAAATGCTCGAAGAAGTCGCTCAGAAATGCCTACATGAACTAAATTTCATGTGTTGAAACATGGGCCAGCTGCGATCTCCCTTGCAGAACATTGCTCAAGTGAGGCAAGGTTCTGGTGCTTGGGCGGATAAAGCCTCCGATTTTGGGTTGTTTGAGTACATTTAAGAAAGCAAATGAGACTATAGACTCCATTTCGCACACGACTAAACACTGATCAACAAGCCATGGTAGTAAATGCCAAGGCAAGGAACAAATCCCCTCGTGTGCATCATGGGATCTTTGCAACTGATTTCCCAGTGAGCAAAGCCAACCAGTCCTGCAAGAAAAACGACAATGGGAGAGAGCAGGACAGTTCGCCCAGGACACTCACCATCCGCCAAATGGCGGGCCATTTGTGTTCAACTGCTATTAGTTGCGACCAGCCCCTTCGCTGATTAGACTCCATCCCTTCGGGATCCCAATTCGGGATAATCAGCATCTTGCATCACACCAGAACATTGACAAAGAGGTCCGGGGTCGGGCCTGACTGGACCAACATGTTCAGAATTCTGCAGCAGGCAGCAGACAACTTTCCACTGCAGATTCAACGAACGACATTGTTGAACCGAGTGGAAGTCAAAATGCGCAGCCCCCAGGAGCTTACCCATGTCTTCCCCGGCCACTTGCGACACTCCAGTTCCGTTCAGCGTCGTCAGCAGCTCCTGCTGTTCCCTCACAAGCAGCTGGAGCCTCTGATTCATGCCCCTCAGGCCGTCGTTCTCGATCTGCGCCTGTGCCAGGAGGGCAGACTTCTCGTCCAGCTTCTTCACGATTCCCTCCATTTCGATCATCTTGTTCTTCTGACGCTCTCTGCCAGCCACACGAAAACACCAATCAGACTACGACGACTCTCGTTGCGGCGGCACCCCTGATCGCGCCGACCGCGGGCAAAGCGCAGGACGCCAACCTGGGGCTCCAAGTCACGTCGGTCGCCAGCACGCTCCCGGGATGCTCACGTTCACTGACACCACAGTTCAATTGTCCAAGGGCCCTCACACCGCAACCATCCTCCAATTCGCGACCGAGCTCACCTTTGGGGTCCCAGCGTCGCCCACACTCGCACCTCAGAAAACCACCCAACATCATCCATTGTCTATCGAAGGGAAATGAACACAAGACAGCAAATAGGCGTCAAGCATGCAGAAAAACACACCTGTATCGCCGCTGGCACAACTTGTTCAGGTGCTGCTGGTGCGGCGTGCGCCGCCTGCGCGTCCTCTTCTCCTTCTCCCCGTCCTCGCCCTCGGCTTTCACATTCCCCGCCCGGGTGCTGGAGGGCTTCGTGTCGTCAAAATCAACGAGGGGGCCTTTGACGTCGAGCTCCGGCTCGGCGCCGCCGTCAGATCCGTCCTCCTGGATGGCGCTCCGGGCACGTGGCGTGCACAGGAACACGTCCACGTCGATGCTGCCTTCATCCTTCCTGCAGATCGCGAGAGTCCAACCGGTTAAGGCGTGGCGCTTCATGGCAGCTGCTGCGTCCAAGGAGCCCCCTCCTCGGCACACCCCCGACGTTATCCGAGCCTCCGGACCCCACCGTTGGATCCCGCGGGTCCAATGCAACCCCTCCCCACTGGGAAGCCTGCCCCACCCTCGCAAACACAACCAGCGTCCACCCATCCCCATCGCAGGCGTCAATATCCCTGCTGGAGATGAAAATTTCCGCCGTCTCTTGCGGACGGCATGTTGGAGCGGAGCGCGCGGGGAGGGGGGCACTCACCCCAGGGTGTCCTCGAGGCGGCGGGACGTCCCGTCGCCCTCCCCGCCTGCCGCACACAACCCGCGTTCAGTCGCTCCCAGTCCTTCGCCGACCGCACTCGCTCCCGTCACCGTACGCGTGCGGCGGTGTCGCGGTTTCGGTTCGCGACATCCTTGGGGGCCGAATTATCGATGCGCGCATGATGCGGTCACGTCAAGGGTGAAATCCGGCCGCCGGCTTCCGCGGCGCGCCTTGTGTGCGAGGGGCGGAGCGACCAGCCCCTTTCAGCCCGCCGGCGCGAGCGGGGCGGAGACTGCCGCGCTCTGGGGGCCCGAAATCTTAACATGAGACACCACGGAAGGGACGGGCAGCGCGGGGCGCGTCGATCTCACTCCGGCAGCGGCATGCGAGGGATGGACTTCGAAGAGTGAGGCCCGTCGCTGCGAGAAAGCGAGCGCATGGGGCGGGTGCCCGCGCGCCGCGACCTGCAGCAAGGGCGCTGCCGCGGGCGCGCCGCGCCCCCAAGCCACGGCCTCGACGGCCGACGGCCGTCGCCCCTCGGCGGTCGGCCGCATCCGGATCGTACTGCCCCGCTTCGCCATAGAATGCACAGCTTCCCCTGAGGTCGGAAGCCCGCGGAAAGGGGGCCCCGGCAGGAGGCCCACACCGGGGATTCACCAATCCTTCCCTCCCCACGGGACGGAGAAACGGCGCGCCGCGGCGCCAAAACAAGCCAATCAGCCCAAGCGTCGCCACTGCACCCGTTAGCCGTGGATGATAAGGCGACACCTTGGAAAACGGGCCCCGAAAACGCCACGCAAACGGCTCAGAGTCGCACCGGTGGCGGGCAGTCTGCGGCAGCGTGGCTCAGCGTGCGCCAATGCGGCCGGACGGCGGCAAGATGGGAGAAGACATGGCGGAATTTCTGCGGGCATCGACAGTTGGCTTACCAGCAATCTCCGCCGCCGTCGCCCCTATGGTGCCCTCTATCCCCGTCGGCGTCCCTTGGCGTCCCTCTTTCGCGCAGCGCTCGTGCGTCCGGGAAAATCGCTATTCGGATTGCTGTTGCCTGGCAGTGGAGCGGGCTGGCGACTGCGCGTTTTGCCGAGTGCGCTTGTAAGGGCCATTTGAAATGGTGTTATGTCTCGTAACAGGTGATCTCGATGGACCGTCACCCTGCGGGGCTAGCTGCGCGGGAAGGTGGGCGCCTTGAAGGCCCCTTTCAAGCACGTGTGTACGGCTCTCACACGGGCAGCCAGCAGCTGTGGATGACGTGGACAGGGTTCCATAGTTTCCCGCAACCACCGCGCCACTCGTAAGGCCCCTGTGAAGTTCACTCAATCGGACATGTTTACTGGACGGCCATGTGGGAAGTTCTTTTCGCTCTGATGGCAGGGAGTGGGCACACGGGAGGCACGGGTCGTGAGCCAAGAGGGCAGGGGCCCATCGCGCACGGTGGCTCTGCCCGCCTGCGTCTCTGCCCAGTACCTGCCACTTGTCGAAAGTCTGCGTAATGTACGGCGCGCGTAATATGAGCAGGCAACCCTTCGAAATATTACGACGCGATACCAGAAGTACACCAAGAGTCTCAATACTGAGAAGGGCGGGTGCCTGTGGGGACGCTGGGCCCGCGAGCCCAGGTCGAGCAACGGACTCGTGGGCCTGCGACAAACTCCGCTGTCGCGAAAGTGCGGCTACTTGCGCGCCCATGCTTTTCACTCGATCGACGCACAGCATAGGTCACGGCGTCGCCATGTCCGCGCGCTGCCAGCACTGTGCCACCAGTGCGGCGCTGTGCACCCGCTGCGGTGGTGACAGGCTCGTTACTGACTTTGCTGCAAACCCATCGACAAGGTATCCACCCTCTTCCCCTGGTCCCAGCTCAACTGGACACTCCCACAAAGGCTCACTATCCAAGCTGGCCGCATCGATGTCGGCTGAAGGATTGTCAACGTCAGCTCCATTGAGCGTGAGGCGGACATGGCGAGAGCACCTTTGAAACCGCTCAGTTTCACCAGCACATTCCGCGGCATTCTCGAGGAAATTTACCAGTGACACCGCCGAGAACCCTCCAGTCAACTGCAAACCCCAGAGTGGGTTGGCTGGAAGGCTGGAAGCCCCGGTGGCACCGCCTATTAGCAACTTGGCACCGCCAATTAGCAAAGTGGCATCGTTGCTTGAATCGCCGAAAATGTTTGGCCATGCCAAGGGATCGAGTATGAACGCCACTCGGGGGTCCGCGCGGGATTAGCAGGCCGATGGCGAGCACGGCGGGGGCATGTGGCCATGTGGCCATGAACGCTCTTGCATTTCTATGGACAGTGCCTGAATCGCTTCACGCTTTTTTGTCTCTGTGGCCAGCTGCCCGTCCGATGGCCCGCTCTCGTCGCCGACCCCACAGCGAAGGGGTGGCTGCGAAGCTCGTTTGTATTTTGTCGGCCATCCCACTCGACTGCTGCAACGGCGCAACGCCCGGCCGTGTCCAGATCCTTAACCCGCCGCAGCACGGGGACGCTGGACTCGCTGCAGACAGCACAGGGCGCCCTATCCGTGAGGCCAACGTGTGCACTTTGCCATTCGGACCATCGGGTGTGCTCCCACTCGGTGGTGACCCCAGGAGCACGGCTGCCATCTCCCCTGTCCCACATTGCCAGAAGCGTCCCTTGCCGGCTTCACCCTGGCTGCCCTGTCCGTTGGCCAGTGGCCCCTTGGGCGCTTGCGCCGCTGCTGGGCGGCTGGGTGGCCGCTCCGCCTGATGGGCCCTCGTCCTCGCGCCGCAGGGGCACAGGAGCTGCCCCTCCTCGGGACGCGCGGGCAGCAACGTGGGCGGGTGCTCCCAGCATCTGCCAGCGCGACCTCGATGGCCGTAAGGCTTCCCTATCCTCGGCCTTCACGTCATCCGTGAGCCCACACACGTGGCTGCTCCCAAGCGCCCAAATCCGGATGACTGGTCAGCCCCCGATGGCAGTACATGACCGATGACTACCGCCCTCACTCTTGCCCGCCCACTCATTGTTCTCGTCACGGGCGGTGTCTTAATGGCACAGGGCGCAGCCTGCTGTCAGGCACACGGCAGGCGTCGTGCGTACCATATTGCACGTACCTCAGCGTGGCCGACCAATGGGCGCGCTTTTGGCTCTGGTTGGGCCACGAAACCAACACCAAGCACGTTGCCAGCGACCTCCAGCCGCGTTGGGCCGCTCGCCCAACGTTAAGGTCTCGCACAATGAGCCGCGTCATAACGTTACGTCGACGCCGAGGGACTGGCGTCATGGCGTACATTATTGGGGGCGTTGTGACGTCACCACACGTGGCTCAGGGCGCACCCACGCCCCGCTTCGGGGCACCTAGGGACTTCAGAAGTTTCCGAGCGCAACTCGCGCACGAGTTCATGTGAGAGGGTCGTGCTCTGCACAATGCTTAACAATGAGCACGGCTTCACAGCCAGTTCTTGGTGGCACACATCCGTAAGCCCTTGAGCACCTGCCAGCGCAACTCCAGCACGAGCTCATGCACGAGGACCGTGCTCTGGACAATGTCTAGCAACGAGCAGGGTTTCTCCACAAATTCTTGGTGGCACGTGACCGCAACCCCTCGGGCAGCTGCCAGCCAAGCCGTGTCGCCAGGGCACCACTACGGCCATTGATACGTGTCGACACGTTTCCCTTAACCAAAACAGGGAAAATAAAACGGACGCTCCGGACTGTATCGTGCAAGTGTCAACATGAAACGTCTGTTTCTTCCCGTTCTTTTGTCAAGAGAAACACTCGAGGAGCTAACTGTGGAAGAGTGAACGAAGACTTCAACATGTGCACAGCTGAATTCTTGTGCAGCACCACCATGGCCGATCCCTATCAACGGAGTCCTTTCGCCACAACACCATCAAGGTGTCTTTCCACCACAACTGGGAACGTTTGTTGACGAAAGCCAGGGAGACCAAGAGTCCATTGGAGAACCTCGCATTTCCAAACAATTTGGTGACAGTACCCCTAAGGCAGGGGTCGCTTCGGGCAGCTGAAGAAGTTGATTTTGTGCAGTTAAGGGACTAGGATTGAGCAGCGAACGGCTGAAAAGAGGGCTTGTGATTGGTCAGCAATTGACAGTCCCGGAAGAGTGCTCACAGATCCACGACCTGAAACGAAGTTGTGCCCCTCCAACTGTCCTCTGGTTGGACGGTGGCTGGCTTCCCATACTTGACGTTTTCAACGCAAACAAAGTTCTCATAGCAAGCTGGCATGTCTGTCCATGGATTCCAAACGGTAACATCCTCCCAACCATCGAAAGTGATCTGCAACAAACATGTGGCTCATTCAGTTCGCCAATTGGTGGCTAACCCTGTGCTCAGGGCACAAGACTTGCACACACTCGGTGCACATGTTGGGAGCCCACATCTTGTGATGTACTCGCTCTGTGATTGTGCTGCAAAAGGCATCCAGTTTGATATCTTCGCAATAACTAGTTTGGCAATGGCAGGCATTCATGGGCAAGCTGGATGTTGTGCCAAAGGTTGTGAAACTCCCTGATATAATCAGTACCAGGCAAAAAGGTGGCTCATGATGTTATGTTCTGCCAGCAGCAGTTGCTTTCACTAACCTGCTGGTTCTTAGCTTCACTGTTGCTTTGCTATCTACCTGTTGTAGTCGCTTGGCAATAGCAATTGTGCTGTCAACAAAGAGCGCCCTGGTTCATATCCATGTCAACTACCACACATGGGCTGCATGTCTCAAAGGCCCTCCTCGTGGGATGCCAAAGCTGTTCATGTCTGCAGCATCAATGCTACTGCTACGACACAGAAATATAGGGCCCAGCTTCACTTGGCAATGCATGAAAGATGAACAAATTGGTAAATAGTTTCTTCAGTGAAAAGGGAAATAGTGGACAGGGGAATGGCAGGCTCTGACTGATATGACACTGCATGTACACATGTTGGACTTATTCTGCAGCAAAACACTAGGCTGCCTGTACCATGCACCTAGACAGCTTGTTGCACTGACAGATCACATACAGATATTCAGAGAAATATGCAGGCCAGAACTACCCTCACTTGATAGCAAGCACCATGACAGTAGGTCGCTAAACATCAAGGGAATCTGAACCAATGCTACTTGTAGAAGAGACGCATCCGTTGCTGGCAGCACTCGCTTATGTGAAGTCTGCAGAGTGCTTTTTGAGGTGACAGAAAGGACAGCTTGCGCACATTGGGGGTCCCGATCATCTACCCTTGCATCTCTTTCTATTGGCAGCAAGAAAGCTGCTGGAGGTTTTGTGCAGGCGCACAACACCAAGACAGACAGGAGCATCAATACAGCTCAGTTGCAAGTGCTGCAGGTCAGGCATTTCAACTTTTCGACAGGTAAGAATCCTCAAAAACTTAACAGTACAAACAGCAAACAAATGACATTAATTCCTGTGATGCTCACCGCGATAGCTGCACCAGTCCCCACATCAAGGTCCACGTATCCAGGGACTCCAAGATACACAGAGTCCACAGGCCCCTTGAATTCCAAGTTGCCCTCTTCTTGAGTCTTGCGCGGCGGGTTGTTCGCATCGACCACCTTGTCTAAATACTCCACCCCTCTGAGACCCCTGACCTTGGCCTTGTCTATACCTGCCACCTCGAAGTAGCTGTGGAGGGCTGCTGTGAACTCCAGAGGCGCACCTCCCTCGTTTATGACCCTAAAGTCAGTGTTGAGGGTCTCCCCATGCAGTGATATTGAGTACACAACCTTGAAAGGGTGCGGGTACATCTCTTCTGTGTAGGTACTGGGGGAAAGGACAAGCTCAACCTCGGGGTCGCGCTCATCTGGCTGGTAGTCTGCCGACGTTGAGGCGATGGTGAAGTCAAGGTTCCTCGCAAACCCATGCTGCTGAATTTTTCCTGGCCCAAACTGAGGCCGAAACACACACACGATCATGCATATTACTCCAGTAAACATACAGCAACACGGTGGTAAACAAATGTACTCCAGTAATGCAGCGGCAGAAAACATGTGCTCCAGTGCTTGGTTACACTTGGGCAGCACCTTTCTGCAGTGCTTTAAATGATGGCAAGTTTATCATTTGGACACTGCTGCATCAAATGTTCGATGCTTTCGTGTGCTCTCCTGACTCCAGGTCTCAGCTTTGCCATGAATGCCCCCACCGCCATCCAGAGAGGACAAGGGGTCAGCGTATTGTTGCAGTGGGTGCTGTGATCAGGGATGACCCCCAACCCCACGCGAAGTGCTGGGATACTGTGAGCAAAGAGATGGTCGTTTGCTTCCCACCCTGCCGCACAATGCTAATTATCGTGTTCATGACATTTCTTACACATTCGATGGGAGTTGCTGGCTGTGACGCACCATTCATTGACCATCGCAATTCCTGCAAGGGAAGGCACCATCTTGGATTTTGTAGGCTTAGCATCAAATGGACGCCAAGGGGGAGAGGGTTCCAGTCCAAGGGCGTTAAGAGATTATGTACTTGCACTAAAATCAAAACATGGTGGGGAAGATGGACAAGAGTGCAGCTGATCAGCAGCAAACAGATCATGAATAGTTCCAAAACCTCCCTCAGGTTTCTAACCTTCGAGGACGTCCTGAGAATAAATCAATTTACAGCCTTGGGGGCTGCTCTTATCGCCCATCATGGCTTTTAGCATCACATTTTTGAGCCCATTACAGTCGCTAAGCTTTGAATGGTTTCTTCTCTGCAAATTTCTTGAAGCTCTATTGCACTGTTAGGTAATGTTGCTGAGTTTTCCTTGTATTGGGGGGGGGGAGATGGCATTACAAATTAATGAGGCACTTCCCCCCCTTGCCCACCAATGTTGCAGGCGCTATAGGAGGCAGCCCCGGAACAGCACAAGGCACAAAAGCTGGAGAGTGCATTGTTGGTCCACGTATCGGGGGATTGGGGCCAGAGCTCAGCGTCCATTTGATGCTAAGCATACAAAATTCCAAATAGCGTCTTCCCAAAATCAATCCAGCAAACAAATATACAAGGCTCTTTGCCCCAGTTCACTGGTGAATAGGGCAGAAACAGCAGATTTGAAAACAACCCAATTCAGGTGACACTATGCTGCCGGTCAAGCGTCCAATACAATTTTCAGCAATTCTCACGTGGTTTAGAGCTAATAGCATGACAACTGCTCGTGCAATAACACTTTTTCTGTCCCACAACAACTGTCCCGTTGTCCTTGAACCACTGTTGTCATGTTAAAATCTGATCAGATATTCCTGGAAATTCTTCTAACTTCACAGTTGCGAGTGCAGAGGATGGTGTCCAAATTTTAGACACAAATTCAAAGTAACAAAAACCTGACAGTGTTTAGACTACCCACAATTCTGGTCAAATAGGCCAAATTTTGTGGATGTCAAGGAAAATCCCAAAATCGTCGAGATGAGGGGTTTCCCTTATATAGCCAGCCCGCCAAGGCTACCCATGGAGAACTTCCGACGCCAATACAGGCTCCAAAGGCTTGACCGGCTATTGCCGTCTGGTCACCGATCTTTTATCCAAACAAGTGCCTTTTTGGCCGATATAGCAGAGAGCTAGCCAGCTCTGTTTTTATTGTGTTTTGAGCTGCTCTCAGGGTCTTCGGCAGTTAACTTTTTGATTCTGATGCTTGTTTGAACATTTGATCTCACCTACGTTAACTTACAACAGCTCTAAATAGAGGAAATTGTTCTGGGGCAGAGGAAATATAATCCTTGCATAAACAGTTGTCAGCATGCTTTGCAGGGGTGGACAGGCACAGTTGCGCAAATCACTGTTTGTGCAGAATTCCGTTGCCTCACTCTGAATTAAGTTAACGCTATACCTGAAGCAATATTCAACAACTGGTAACCTGTTTGTGAGTTACGATCCTCACCAACATGTGGCGATTTCCAGATTATTCACTGCTTGTATGCCAGATAATATCCTTGAGGAATAGCAACAACCAATCTCTGTTTATCACCAAACATCATCCTGGGGTCAAACTCAATGTAACTGTGAGATTGAGTCTACTGATGACAGCCAACTCTGGTTGTGCGGCACCAAATTCCCCAGCAACTCAGCAGCCCCGCACCTGGGGGAAGCAGATGGGGATGCCGCCTGAAATGGGCTTGGACTTGTCGAACTTGGCATCTGGTCGGACGAACAACACTTCGTCCCCACTGCTCTGTTTCCATGATGTCACGCAGGCACCAAAAAGATACACCTGGCATCGCACAGCCAACTGGTTGTCACTATGCTCCAACGGATATCAATTCTCCAGATACTCTGGAGAATTTGAACAGATTGTACAAAGCAAATAAAGAAATGGATGGCTTGTGGCTCTTCTGAAGGGTAAGGTTGGCATGGGCAGTCTGGGACAATGCACTACAATTTCAAGTGTTGCCCTTTTTGTCGCCTTCCAGGCGGCACACACACTCGGGAATTTTCTGATTTTCAATTTGATCTTTGATAGACATTTGTCAAGGAGTTGCATACCAAAAGGAAATTTGAGAGGATATGTGCACTTGACACAGCGTATTGGCCAATAACCTGGACCTGCACAGCATTGCTCCCAATTCGCTCTGCAGTCGTTGCAGTGCTGTAATAGCGAGGGTAACAATGCTCCTGTTCTTCCTTTTTTGTTGTTGTGAACAACACAACAAAACACCTGATTAGGCACAAGCATGAGGGATTTGTGTTATATGGGTTCACAGGACAAATACCAGCAGGACATGCCTCCGTGTTGATCAACCATTTGTTGGGAACCCAAAGCAGCCTTTTGTGCGCCTGTGACACCTCACTGCCGTATGCACTGTTCTGCATTATGTGCTCATGTTGTTGCGCTTGGAGAGCACTTCTGCATCAACTTTCAAAGCAAGGAAGAGATTCTCGCAAACCACCTGGCAAGAAGTGGCAACTGTATGACATGCTCCCTTTCTTAATGCAAAGAATCTCTGACGTACCTCTGCACTTGAACCGCAGGCATGCTGCAGAACCACTTTAGGCAAGCCACCTTCGCCTTCTGTGATGTCCACACAGCCTGAGATGGCTGCCAGCAAGTGCAACACAAAATCATTGTTGTAATACTGCACCAGTGGTGCCCCGTTGCCAGGGAGTGCTTCTGCAATATTCAGAAACTCTGGACATATTCAGAGACAGCATCTTTGCTTCGCCCAGCGACAAAAACAGTGATTGCAACACTCCAACAGCTAAAATCAGCACGGATATACACACAAATGAAAAGGAAACGATCTGTTTGGACACTGAAGCAATGTTTACTTGTCCCTGGCGTTGATTCCGTTCGCACCCATGCCTCGCAGCACCTCCCAGGCAGGTGGCTGGTGCGCAGAAGGACGCACCTACCAAACTTCTCCTGCAGCTCCGCCACCTCAGGACTGACGGCAGCGCAATGCAGCCGCTTCCGTCCGCAGGGCCTGGCGTTCCTCCTCCAACACAAATTGGCCGCGCGCGGCTTCGAGGGGCCGAAGCGGACGCCACTCCTGAAAAACACGCACAACGCCAGAACCATACCAACCCACGTCGAATCACGCATTTTGGCCAATCACAAGGTAGATTAGCCGCCCTAGCCCGCCTGTTGCGCGCGATCCATCCCTCCAAACGCCTTTTCCAGCCAAGGAAAAGTGCACACGCTTGAGTACGCAGACATAGGAGTGCGCGCGTCCGCTGTGCACGTGCGCTCGGGCATTCCATTTTCTCTGTCTCAGGGTCTTGGGGTCATTGTCGTCGACATCAGCGGTGCAGGATCGCGGGCAAACCCGATCGTTCGGTGTTCATCACCAGAGTGCTGATCCAGGACGGGCATTTTTACCTGCCAAACGGCGCGCGAACGGCGCGCAGCGTCCCGGTCATCGCCATGGCTTCCATCCGCGGCGCGTTTGTGGGGCGCCGGGCCGTTCGCCCACTGGCCGCCGACTTGCTCCCCGTCGAAAGGCCCCGGGGGTGTCGCTTGGGCGGCCGGAGATCTGCCCGAATACGCCCCCAGGAGATGCCCTTCGGGCGGTGCTCACACACCAGGTCGGCCATCCTGGAAAATGCGGCGGGGTCACACGTCAGAACCCAAAAAAATATGAGAAAAAGTGTGGGGACGTCCCCACACTTTGCTTTGGAATCAAAGCAAATGCCCGTCATCAAACCTCCGCGCGTCGATGCATCGATCTCCTGTTGATGTGGCAGAGGGGCGGCTCAAGGCTGGAACGCGCCCCGCTGCAGTGCAGCGGTAATGCATTGCGACACAAACTCCGAGTGACCGGAGGACCGACCTCCGCAAAACACCTCAAGCCGGACAAGTCGTCGGGCAAGATTCTCAAAAGCGATCCCAATTTGGATATTGCCCACCTAGGCTCATTAAAAAAATGGTCGAGACTCTCGACCTGTCTCTTCTGGGCAAGGCTTTCGCCACAACACCACCCCACACGTGATTGGGACCATTGCCCGATATCGCCAGTTTGGGGCAAGGGCATTTCGCCACAACACCACCCCACAGCACACGTGATTGGGACCATTGCCCGATATCGCCAGTTTGGGGCAAGGGCATCTGCTTTGTCATGTGACAAGTGGTATGTAAACGAGGATCAACGCACCGCCCCAGAATAACAGCACCAGAAAACCCTACCCACCCCACTCCACCCAGCGGGAAGCTGCTCAGTACTTCCTTTAAACCGTGCCCAACCCAACTCAGCCCCGTGCAAATACGGAGCACAAATGTAGGCCTCAAGTACGGGAGACGAACATGTATTTAATTTTATAATTATACAATAACGGTTTATTATAATAATATTTTATAAGGTCGAAATCCCACACACACGGTCGTCTGGTTAACCCCACATCTGCTTGACAGCCATATGGGCGATTATTGCGTGGCTGCCAGGGTTGTCTTATTTTAAAAGCTGGGGACCCGACTTGGAGCGCGCCGGAAATGAATGTTTTAGAGTTTGACTCAGCGTTCTTGTGTAAGAATCGGCCCCGGTGACGTGGGGGTTACGTGAGTGGCGGGCTATCCGAGTCGGGTGCTGTGGTGATGCGTCCCCGGATGGGCCAGTCACTAGGGAAGAGGGCCAAAAAAACACGGGTTCAAACGTGTAAAAAGTTTTTGGGTTTGTGTTATTTTTGTGTACTTAGCGTGCAGAACTTTGATGACGGCGCGCCGTGCCCGCTCGCTTTCGAGGCGCGCCTTTCCCGGCGCATCGTCGCGGCGGCAACGAAGACCATTGCCCGCGCCGATCCTCAGAATGGCGATGGCCCGCGCCCAAACGCATGGCTTGGCGTTGCCGTTCTCGCGAGGCTTCCAGTCAGTCCGCGGACACTGGTAGAAAACGGCATGTTTGCGATGCCAATTGCGATGCCATTTTGATAGAAAATGATGCCATCACAGTGATTGAGAGGGCATAAAAAGTGCCCGTGATGGCATCAATTTGTGTCAAAATTGCATCGCAAGCATGCTGTTTTCTACTAGTGGGAGCGACTCCAGAGCCTTGCAGCGCTCTGCTGTGGCAACCATCGGTATGGCGACCGCGACACCGGATGCAATCAGCGCGCCTCTCAAGGCCACGTATTCGGGGCCCCTGGGCCCCTAGCCAGTGAATGAGCGAACTTTGAAAGAGGGAAGCGGTAACGAAAAAAGAGCAGAACATCGGGCCGAAAGCCCGACTTCTGGATCGGTTTATGTACAAAATGCAAAAATACAAAAATGCAAAAATACAAAAATGTAAATACAAGTATGTACAAATATTTGGCCAGACCGCGCCCAACGCCCTGCGCCGCCCCGCAGCTGGCCCGCGCTTCGCCCGCCAATCCCCCTCGCCACTCTCCCCCTCGAGCCAGCTACCTCTCGGCGCCCCCCGCCCCCGCCCAACCCCGCTCGAGGGCACCCCGCTCGCCACCTGTGTTATGAGCGAGGAGACCGGCCTGCCCGACACCCTAGCGGGCGCATTCGACCCCTTGGCCGACGCCGCGGACCCCGACAAGGGCGGGGCATCCAACGACGGGGCGGTCCATGTGCGCGTGCAGCAGCGCAACGGGCGCAAGAGCCTGACCACGGTGCAGGGCCTGCCGGTGGGCTATGACAAGCGGAAGATCCTCAAGGCGCTGAAGAAGGACTTCTGCTGCAACGGCCACGTGGTGGAGGACCCGGAGCTGGGGCAGGTCATTCAGCTGCAGGGGGACCAGCGGAAGAACATCCTGGCCTTTCTGGTGCAGGTGGGTGCGGGTCAAGATGTGTTGCAAGCGCAGGAAACCATGGTCATACGGGGGAGCGCCGCCGTGCTGGTGGAATAAGATCGCCCTTTCCGCTTTGCAGCGCTGTCGGGCCACTGACGGCAAGAATGCAATCGAAAACTTGAGGGTTGGGGGTGAGCTGGGGTGGGTGGGGTTGGGTGAGGTGGGGGGGCGGGCTGCTTGTGTGTATTTTCAGATGTGTTTGGATCAGGGCAGCGCAGTGCACATTGGAGCGCCGCTCGCTTGCAAGAATGAGCCGCGCATTTGGCCCCTCTGCTGTGGAAGCCGATGACAGCGAGAGGAAGTGTGCGGCGGGGAGCGTGCGCGAAAGTTGTGGGCGCGACTGGTTGTTGTTGTTCATCAGAAGACAAGGAGGTACCGCGCAAGGCGTCGTGTGTCTCACGTTTGCGTGCGCTCCACGACGAATATGATTCATACTCGTGTCCACTTTGGCCTGTCCGCAAGCCTGGGGCAAGGATCGAGCAGCGTGCATGTCTGGAATTATTTGGTGGGCGACGATCTTGCGGTGTGGACTCGATCGACGCAATCGATGTCGGGTAGGGGGTGTCGTGCGAAATCTCTGCGGCCCAAAGCGCGAATCGTCGTGCTGTGGTCGCAGTCGCGGCGTGCGAGCGCGGAAAACTCTCTGGAGAGTGCACCTAGGGCCCGATCGTTGCTGCCTGTTGGTGCGCGGGCGCATCTTCTGCCTGCAGCAAAGAAACTCTTCCTGTTCGTTCGCCCTGGGTTGTTATCAGCCGCCCCTGCTGGGGCCTGCAGGAAATATTCCGGCCACTGTCATTCACGGCCTGGGTATTCAATTGTTGCTTGTCGTGCGCCGCTGACTGGTGGATTGATGCAATCCTTACTGCTTGGACCGATCGCTTATTCTCGCTCTGGATGGTGCTGCAGACGAAGCTCGTCAAGAAAGACCAGATCAAGATCCATGGCTTCTGAAGCTCGAGGGCAGTGTGGCACTGTGTAGAGCGATGCTGGCCAACCAGCAGCGGCTCGTGGCCCTGGCTACCTTGCGTGGCCCCAAGATTGCGTTTTCTCTGTAGATGGTGTCCCGGTTGTGATTCTTGGGAGGTGCATGTAACTGTGGACCTTGTGTAAAAATGGCCAGTCAAACATTGGCTGCAAGTGCTGTTCCAGATTGGGAGAATCCTGCAGTGTTTGGGATAAATAAGCGTGGGCCACATGTACCCCTGCAGGCCCACCCGTCCGTGTCTTCTGCACTCCAGCTGTGGTCCCAGGGTGGACGCTTGGGAGTGGGGAACTGTAACAAGGTGCAGCTGACAGGGTGCCGATGGAAGTACTGCGTGGTCGATTCTCCAATGTTGGTGCCTGAGGGCTTTGCGAAAAAGTCGTATGATGACTCCAGCTGGGACACAATCGGGCTGCCATGCAATCTTGAGTGTGTTGGGGCTGGCAAGCCCATATACACGAACTTTCAGTACCCCTTCGCAGTGACCCCCCCCCGGGTGCCCACCTCGAACCCCACAGCATGCTTTCGAAGAACATTCAACGTGCCGGAAACCTGGGGCTCTGGCAGAGTGTTCCTGCTGTTCGAAGGCGTGGATTCGGCATTCTATTGCTGGGTCAACGGCTGTCTGGCAGGCTACAGCCAAGACAGTCGCCTCCCTGCAGAGTTTGAGGTGTCTGGGCTGCTGTCAGTGCATGGGGAGAACATCCTGGCGCTGCAGGTGATGCGCTGGTGCGACGGTAGCTACCTGGAAGATCAGGACCACTGGTGGCTGAGCGGAGTTTACAGAGATGCTTTCATGATGAAGAAGCCGTTCGCTCACATCCAAGATTATTACGTAACCACTCCCCTCTCGTTTGGCCAGTCTGGAGATCTGGTGGCAGCCAGCTTGCAGGTGGAATGCAAGGTGGGCCTTGGGAACAAGCACCATGATGGCTTCCGCCTCCGGATGAGACTGATGGAAAGGGGAAGTCCAGGGGACGTGATGCAGCCACTGGAATGTGACGTCTCGGGCGGCACTCAAGTCATAAGCGACGTTTCGGGGGCATGTGCAGCGACTGCCTTGCCTGTTGGCCGACTGGTGAAAGTCGGGGTGGATGCGATGTGCTTTGCACCCAAGCTGTGGTCTGCCGAGCAACCTGCCCTGTACATCCTGACGCTGGAGCTGCTGTGTCCAGACGGCACTGCTGTGGATTGCGAGTCCTGCCTGGTGGGCTTCCGGCAAACTGAGGTGCGGGGCCGGCAGCTGCTGCACAATGGGGTGCCCATACAGATTCGCGGCGTCAACAGGCATGAGCACGACGAGCAGCACGGCAAGTGGGTCAGCGAAGACCTGATGGTGAAGGACATCTTGCTGATGAAGCAGCACAACTTCAACGCTGTTCGTTGCTCCCATTATCCAAACCACACGCGCTGGTATGAGCTGTGCAGCGAGTATGGGTTGTATGTGGTGGACGAAGCTAATGTCGAGACGCATGGTTTCGACCCTGGTTTCCGCGCCAACGACTTCAACCCCGCTTGCAGCTCCCTGTGGTTCCATGCAATTGTGGACAGGGGCATTGGCATGTTTGAGCGGGACAAAAACTTCCCCTGCATTCTCATGTGGTCGCTGGGCAATGAATCTGGGTACGGGCCAGCACATCTGTCCATGGCCGCATACATAAGGGCAAAGGATCCCTATACACCCGTTCACTACGAGGGTGGGGGCTCAAGGACGCCAGCCACGGATGTCATCTGCCCCATGTACGCGAGGGTGGAACAGGTTGTGAGCCTTGCCGAGTTGCCTGGCGAGACCCGGCCCGTTGTCCTTTGTGAGTATGCCCATTCGATGGGAAACAGCACAGGCAACTTTAAGGAGTACTGGGACGCGTTTGACAGGCTGCCCTATGCTCAGGGTGGTTTCATTTGGGACTGGGTGGACCAAGGCTTGGTCAAGAGGGACAGCTCTGGGCGAGAGTTCTGGGCTTATGGCGGAGACTTTGGAGATGAGCCCAACGACGCCCAGTTCGTGATAAATGGGCTTGTGTTCCCCGACAGGACACCCCACCCAGCACTCTTGGAGTGCAAGGCCGTCCAGGCACCCATCTCCTTTCGTCTTGTGTTGATTGGCAGCGCGGATGGCTGCAGCTTGTCCATCAGAATCCAAAACAAATGGGACTTCGTTTCGACCGCGGCGCTGGTGTTCGAATGGCGACCCATCGTTGATGGCATGGCTGCCACAGCCTCAGCACATGAGCAGGACGCTGTCTGGTGGACGCTTGGGGAAGTGTACGCCATGGCTGGCGAGGAAGACCATCTCGCCATTCCGATGTCATCGGAAGCATTGGTGCAGGTGATGGCGGCCGTGGCCATCTCACCGCTGATGGAGTGCGAGCTCTTCATCGAAGCTCGTGCTCTGTTGAAAGATGACACGCCCTGGGCTGGTAAGGGGCACGTTGTTGCGGAGCGGCAGCTGCCATTCCCAGAAGGGTGGGTCGAGTCCGCTCTGCACTCAAATGCAAAGGGCGACATCGGCAGCGGCTGTGTTGCAGAGCTTGTCTGTCATGAAGGCGACGTCACCATTGAAGAAGGCGGCCCCAAGATCAGGATATCCGTGGGTGGCTTGATGGTGCAGATCGACAAACCGTCAGGGGCTGTGGACTCCTTGGCTTACTGTGGTGCTGCCCTCTTGTCTGCCCCTGTGCTGCCGTGCCTCTTCCGCGCACCGACAGATAACGACAGAGGCGGTGCTCAGGGCACGAGCCACGCGGCGAGGTGGTGCTCAGCCGGACTGGATCGCCTGACCTGCGACGGGGTGGCTACCGTCGAAGTGGCAGAGCGCACTGACGAATCGGCGACTGTTGCAGCCAAGTGGCGGATGAAGCCAAGGCCGAAGACGTCAGGCGAAGGGGGGGAGTCGTCAGCGACGGCCGTGGGCGTCAGCGAGGTCGGAGGCGCCCACTGGTTCGCAGATCGCGGGGATGGCAGAGATGGCATCCTGGAGCCTGAGGGGAAGGGGGGCGATCTAGAGGGGGAGGTGGGGGTGGAAGTGCGCTGCACGGTGGACAAGTACGGTCACCTGTACCTCTGCTGGCGTATCGATGCCTCGGGGGCGCTCCCCAAGAAGCTGCCGCCCCGCCTGCGGCCCTCGCTTCCGCGTGTGGGCGTCCGTTTTGCCATCCCGAGCCGCCTGGGTCGAGTCTTGTGGTATGGCAGGGGCCCGCAGGAGTGCTATGCGGACCGCCAGTTCGGAGCACCCCTGCGGTGCCATGCCGTGGATGGCGCAGATCGCATGCATGTGCCCTACATCGTGCCGGGGGAGAATGGGGGCAGGTGCGGCGTGCGCTGGTGCGCCATGGTCGGGGAGGATGGCTGGGGCGTGGTTGTGAGCAGCTCAGAAAAAGGTGAGGGGTTTCAGTTGAACGTGAGCCAGCATTCATTGGAGGGGCTCGCAGCGGCCAGACACGATGTGGAGCTTGAGCCAGATGGGCTGACGCATGTTCATGTGGACTGTGCCCACATGGGAGTTGGCGGGGACGACAGCTGGAGCCCGTCTGTGCACGATGAGTATTTGGTGCCGCCAGGGGTGTACACGTTTGGGATGTGCCTCGCTGTGGTGAAGCCTGGATGCGATCCCAAGCTGGCTTGCACGGCGTTGTGGAAGCACGCCAGGGAGAAGGGGGTGGCAGGCAAATGGGGGGCATGAGGTGTTTGTAGGCTCTTTGCTTGGTTTGTTGTATCAAATGTTGCCAGTCCAGGTGTGCATGTGCACAGCGATGAATGGTGGGATTGCTGGAGGTGTAAAAAGAAATTGTGCTTGCATTTGTCACGAGTTGGCGAGACAGGCCCAGGAACAGCACGGGCAAAGAACCTTCAGCTTGGTCTGGTCCTGAATAGCACATGGAATCAGAAAAGCTGCAAAACAAGGTTTGGGCTTGTATGGCACACGGAAACCCAAGTCGGGAAGGCGGAAAAACTGCAAAAGAAGGTTTGGTTCGTAGGGCACACGCACACCAAAAACTGGGGTGGCAGAAGCTGCATAGGAAAGGAAAGGGCGAGCCAAGCACCGGCAACGTTGACTCTTCTACAGGTTGCTGTTACGTCGCTAAGACATGTTGTACTACCTTGGGCGAATGTTGCCATTATTCGTTTGTTTTTTTCGTTTGGCTTTATTCTCACTGTGCACCGCAGCCCTGTGCCTGAAATATTCGTTCATTTGGGGCTCGACGCAGTGTCCATTTAGGCTGGTGACGCTGGCGATTTCTTGAGCACATAAATGGGCATCAGTTTGGTGATGGTAAATGCATCAGCCTATCGTGCAGGAAGAGAAGCGATGGTGCCTTAGGGAAGGCGCTACGTTGATTTTGTTAGCGCTTAACGTCAATTTGACGCAAAGTGGGTCGAGGGGTGGGGGGTAAGATTTGTTACAAATTTGTTGCAACTGACGCTGAGCGTGCCAAAATCGGCGTAGCGTCTTCCCTTAGGGCAATCAAAAAAATACACTCAAAGCCGGCTCTTGCATTCGATTCACAGTTAGCTGTGCGACAGCAGCTTTGGTTGTGCATTGCTGATTCTAAAGTATAGCGTCACAATCTGAGAGTTCAAGTATTAGTGGAGCTGCCATGTCCAATGTGGAGCAATCAAAGTTCCTTTTCTGCTACTACCTGCCCCCAGCCCTGACGCGCCCCCGCTGCCACTTTTCCCGCTGCGCGAAAAATAACCGAGGGGTGTGACCGCAGTGCAGCGAGGAACAACCTTCGACCCTGGTGCAGCCAATCACTATTAGTACATGCCCCCGCGTCACTACTTAGCCGTCGCTACTCGTCCTTTTTTCTCCTTGTTTTGCGCAATCCTGCCCAAGTTCCCGCCATCCAGTGCCAGGGTCGTCACTTCCCGCTCGCACAGGAGATCACCGTGAGGACTGGCACGGCCCCCCCCCCCCCCGCGAGGATGGCCACCCTCCAAGGCGACTACCCTTCGCCGGAGTACGCAACGCGAGCGCGCCTCTGACAGTGGCCGCGACTAGGGTTCCCTTGCGAAGGCACATTTGGCTGAAAGGGTGATACTCTCAACCTTAATCATTAGTCCTAACCTCAGAACAGGTGATGTGGAGACGCGGGACGCAGGCCGACACGCAAAACAGAGCTCATACGCGACGTCTCGATCTGTCCCCCTCTGCTTGCCGTCAACGCGTGCTTGTGATGGTTTGGATGCAGATTTTGGGAACTCCCCAGGCACGCTGAGGTGGTGGCTGCCAGGCAATGGGGAGCCCAGTTTTGTTGCTCCGTACAGTGAAGCGACAGCTGCATGTCATGACGATGGTGCAGGGCGTGAAAGACAACTTGTCTTGCAAAGACAGCAAAGTGACAAAGCCCACTGCAAACACAGCTCATGTTGTCCATGTCCAAGTGTCAAACCCCGTAGTGGGGCCAGTATTGGCGCCAATGGCACACCCGTCGAGCGGAACTGATGAGTCCCAGTGCATTGGCAATATCGTTCACTGCAACTGGGTCCCAGGCACTTGCAGACACTGCCAACAATGAATACTGCCAACCATCAATCGGGAGCTGCAGTGGGGGAATCTTCCGATGAGTGGCACCCTGCACAGGGAAAGGGGCCTCTTTGTTGTCCGCATCCTGGCCATGCATTCTTGCTTCCTGTCCCCCAGTGGTTGTCAGCATCGTTGGGGCTACGATCGGAAGGTTATTACGAAGACTGCCAACTTGGGCAAGTTTCTTCTTTCCACACAATCGTCATTTTGATATAGCTGTTCAAAGATACGAAAGGAGTGACATGTTTCTGGGGGAGTTAGTGGTGTGCATGGCATTCATCAGGTGAGGCACAAAGAACTGAAATGTCCAAAATCTGGAGACTTTGCCCGATTGTTGGCAGTGGGTGGTGCGCACCAGGCCTGAAGACAGGCGTATCCTTCTTGAGGGGGTCAGCAAGGCGGCCCGCTCAAGCCAGCGTGCAGGCGCGGGCTATCTGCAGCCGATTGCTGGCACCGGATCCTCGGGGTCATCCCGCAGGTACCTTGCCTCAGTAGTGCTAGAGGCAGGACTCGATCTGTCTGCTCTTGACATGATATAGGACTGTTGGTAATGGACCCAAACACTAACGAACCAGCACAGCTCAACCATGCCAGGAATCGTTCTTCCAGTTTGTGTATGGAAATGTATGTATGTGGAATCGTTCTTCCAGTTTGTGTTTGTGTATGTATTGGAGAGCTGCACTGTGATGTAGGCTGTGTGCAATTGGAACCACTCGAAATATGTTTTTGTGGGCAACTGCCCAAAGGTTGTCTGTGCTTTTACAAAAGGAACCACGCACATCAGGAGCTTCACGGCAATATTAGTGGTGTTTCACTGGATTTAGAAAGCCAGTGCATGGAAACAACAACACGCGGACACACTTGATGATGCAACCAACATCTGCTTATCACTGCGAAACAAACAGCACAATGTTCTGAACTTCAGTGGCTGACCCAGTGTAATCTGTGCAATATGGCATGAGTACAACAATGCCAAGTGCAAGTCAATGACAGTTCTCTCTTTTGTCTGAGTTTCTACTCTCTGCTGGACAGCAGCCCATTGGATCCTGCTGGTTGTCCAGACCTTGGATGATACCTAACAATTCACTTTCAATCAGGTGGATGAATTGATGAATCAAGTACAGCATCGTGGAAAACGACATACTGGTCGTGGCACGTGCCTCAACCGACATTAATCTTTGCATGAATCTGTCAATCAGTCAAACCTCAATCGATCAGTGTGGACAAGTTCACAGCCAAATTCCTATTGTTTGTGCTTCCACTAGAGACACTTGGCGAATGAGATTGCAGGTAGATGCGGCAGTACCTTGAGTGCCAGAAATGTTAATTCATGCAGATGCTAACTGAATCCAAAGATCCTTACCAATAGTTCGTATTGATGTTAACCTAACGTACACATTCCGCAACCATTATTCTTCCTCATCCTAGTGATACATCAGCTACCCCTGCAAACAAACGCTTGTTGTTCCAACAAGAGCACTGAATTATGTTGTGTGTGGAGAGAGGGCACTGGGGTCAGAACAGCGTATCCTGGCCATCCGATGCACCATCAAAGAACAAAATGTCCACAACCTTACCAACTGATGTACTGAACGCATCAGTTTTCAGTCCATTATTGGTCTGTGTGGCACCAGATCAAGATCCCTAGCTCCGATCTCGACTTTCGATGGCATCATGCAGCGCTCTATCAAGGCTTCTGCTACAGATCAAGAATGCGTTTCTCCATGTCAGCCTGCAGCCTCAACTTCCCTGGATGCTGTGCATAATCTTGCCCGCTGCATTTCACAACGTCCACACATTTTAGTCAGCCACACACGCTGTCACCTCGGCACTGCCGCACAGATCCTGCCAATCAAACCTGCCTGATCGACTGCGCAAATCTTCTCATGGGCAGGAACACTGGCACACTGAACGCGAGGGTGTCCCGGCAGTTGGTAAGATATCATTCACCGGCAGAACTCTGAGAGAACGGATTCCTACAATGAGTGATGCGACGTTATGTGCATGACACCAGCTGCTGCACGCACAGAACATGGGCGACGGTCGCAAGCTCTGTAAACATTCTTGTCCAAAATTGCCACTGTGTCATTCCAGAACACCCATAATGTCATGAAACCTGCACAGCGAATTCACCAACGACTGATCTGCTCCACTGAGATGTCGATGACTTGCCATTCATCCCCCGACGGCCACCTGGGTGCGATTGTGCCAGCGTGAAATAATGCATCCAAAAGAATCACAAGCAAAACAGGAAGATGGGGCCTGTTAATCGGAAACAGGACAGGGGCAAGAGCATTTTGTGCCAGACCACGGATGAATGCTGAACGTGGCCCCCATTTGCTAGTAGATGCCAAGGAGCATGTTGTCGCCGTTGACAGACACTTGCAATCAAGACATATAAAACACTGAACACTTTGGCATCAGAAAATTTTACCGTTGGGCTTTTCGCTCCGAATTTTGTTTTCAGAGCGTTGGCTTATTCTTTTATGTTGCTCCGCGGACAAAGGCCAAGCGTTGCGTTGTTATTTATTAATTTTCTCCAGAGAAAGGGGTAAAGCGTTTCTATACTATGCGGAAGGGTTGAATGTTTTGCAGTTTTCGCACTTAGCGCAGCTGTGCTCAACCACCTCACACATTCTTGGTGAAAGGACGCACTTTGTGTGAGCGCGGCCTCCAGGGAAGCCGAGGCAGCGGGCCCTTTGAGGGAGCAGACCTCCATGTTGTGCATGAAGAGAGATTGTTGAGTTCCCGCGGAGGGAGCGTGGACGTGCATTTCATAGGCGAGATCGTGGGCTGCACTGGCCTGAAGCGCAGGAGCGGCTATTGCGAATGGAGGGTGACCCAAGCCGGCGACACATGGACCTTGAAGAGCGGACACCGAGAGGTTGTTGGCTGTTCCTGAACGGACCAAACGTTGTTCTTTCTATCAAGAAGTTGAACATGCCCTAAATGGCCATCTCGCTGGGCAGGTATATATATTTGGTGAGGCTCTCTTCAACGCTGTGCCCCGGCTTGCTTGCAAGCCACTGCGATGGCCTTGATGGCGTGTTTGCTTTCTGCCCCATTGGCAGACACACAGAATCTTCACAGCACTGCCAATAAATCGCCCTGAAAGTTTGTCAGTGTCAGCAATCCCCAGCCGCACTGGACGCAGTGTTAAAAATTCAAACCCCAATACAAATCGAAGTCTTCCTTGGCCACATGTGTTGAAGTACTGCAGACAGTGCCCTTGCATGCCCTGAGGCGATGGCAGGTTGCAAAGAGATGAGATGGCATGAAGTGCGGCAGGTGACCTAACCGATACCAAGTGGGGCAGTTGCGGGTACTGCCCATTGGCCTGCACATTGCAAGCCAACCTCCACCCAAGTGACAGCTGTATGGTCGCTGCAGGAAGGATTATGCCAACCTGGAAATTTGCAGATTGGTTTGCGCAAATTCCAGATGCTGCCCTGTCCGCCGACCATCTGCAGTGTTTCGTGCAGTATGCCGTTGCTCCATCTCGTAAAACGGCTGTATCTGTATAATATAAAATAATATGATGTATTATAGTATAACATAATCTATTATGACTCAATGTAAATGCATCTTGCCACACTGGCAGCGCCGATGCAAATCCATGCAAAGAGAGCTGGAAAATTCCTATTTGAGAGCTCAGGCGACAATCAACTGACAGTTGATGTCAATGGCGCCACTGCTGTCCTTGCCGCGAACTAACAGTTTGAGATGGCAGGGGACGTCTCAAATTTCTCAACCTTCGGAGGATGAGGATGAGCTTACATTGTGGAGCCATCCGCTGGATCTGCACTACGAAACGAAGGACATGAAGGTGGCGAGCGTGACATACGAGTATCGCTGAGTGCACGGAAAGAAAAACTGTGCGGCAAGGTGCATGGAAAATTCGTTACGGAAACGAGGGCGACCTTTGGATAACTCTGCATCTTACAATGGACCTTTTGGTTCTTCTACCGCCTTGTGGGTGCTGCGACGAGTCGGAAGTCCAGCATTTTTTGTTCCAAAGAATTTTGAATTGAACTGCACCGGAACTTCCTCCATTTTGTAGAGCGAAAATTCTGGGATCAAAAAATGCAGTCACTCTCTGACTACCACACAGGGGTGGCCGCGGATTGTCTTCAAGGTGTTTCATCACGACGAGATGACGGACCTAAGACAACTACATGGATACGGCATTGCAAGCTTTCCAAACACACCAGGAATGCATGTGGTCGAGTGCCCCATGTGGCTCGCCGCAGATTCGCGGGCTGGCGGCAAGGAAAGATTGCACGGTGGGAGGTGCACGGCACCTTAGCCAAACCATGGCATTATCTGACACGTATAACTTACGGATATGAAGGTCACTAAGGATGCGAGGGCCCTACATTCCTCAAACATGAAAATCTGAAGCGGGGAAACGCCTTCATTGCCTTTCAGGACCTTTATGTCAGGAAATGAAGGGCATCGGAAGGGCATTAGTCTTCTGTGCAATCCAGTGGATGCGTGCACTGGAACAAGCAATAAACCGCTGAGGCACCTTGTGGACAATGGCGGGCGCAATCGCCATAACATTGCTTCATCCAGGATGTGTGTTCGTCCAGGGAATGATAATTTCACAACGGCCACGATTGCCATACCTGCTCGATCGTATGCTTCTTTTGGTGTTAACCTTCGGGACTTGCCGCTCCAGGGTGAAAACTCTGGTCGGCGTTGCCGCCTGTGCTCAAACTCACTGTGAAATAGCTTAAATTGGAACGAGGACTGTTGGCGGGTCAGCACCTTGGCAAGATTCCAGCTTCGGTGGAAGATTCCCGACGAATAAAGAATGAAAACCAGATGAAAGAAATGGAGAACAGAAATGACTGAAAATCACTGAGACGCAAACGAGCGCTGCCCGCGACATGAAGGAGCGAGAGGCAGAACGTGTTCTGCGTCTCACTATTAAACAACTCAATTTCAGGAAGTGCTTTCGCTCTCCAATGAGAGCCATAGTGTCCAAGTGTCTGGCAGCCGCCAATGCAGCAAGCGAGTTGAAAAGCAGTATGGGGAAAGCTCAAGAAGTATGGAAGGCTGGTTGACTCATGCAATAAACAACGGCAAAATACTATTGTATCACAATTTCAGTACAGATTTAGCAATTCCATATTACGAGTAACCTTGCTTAGGGAAGGCGCTGTGTCGAATTTGATACGCTTAGCGTCAATTGCACGCGGTGGGTGGGGGGACCCCAGACCTGTGACGCCCAGAGATTATGTGATTGCCACAAGATCGACATAAGCGGTGATGGTGCCCTGCAATGCCACTGATAAGTGGCTAACAGACTCCTGACTGGTTGCCAAGCCTCCTTCAAGTGTCCAAGCTCACAAAATGGTCCTGCGGCGTCATTGCAGACAACCTCAAGGGCTGTGTACATCGCTTGCTATGGCTTTTCCATACCAATTTCGAAATCGTCACAACTGTTGCAACCAGGCTGCTTGCTTGCTTGAAAGCATCATTAGGTTGTACTGCACGATTAGGCGATGTTGGTGAGTCTTCCTGCCGCAGAGATAAGGATTAACTGTAAGGGGTTTTTGGGGTGGGTGGGGTGGTGGGCCCTCTGATCTTAACGTCAAGTTGATGCTAAGCACACACAAAATCGACACAGCGTCTTCCATTAAGTGACACGTCCATCAAAGGCAATGCAGATTTGGCTTTGTACCATGGCGCCAGTGGATCCCTTTTCATGATGTGCCCTCCCACGTGGTTGTTTTCAGATGCTCTCACCGGTGCTGCTCCACGATTGCTCGACGAGAATTTCATAGCGGACGCGACAATGCGCGGCAGCCATCCGACGGTGTACACGGAGGGCCGCGGTCAAGTGCACATCGAAATTCAAGCCCTCATGAAGGCAAGAGGCACTGGCAAAAGAGCGCCCGTCCCTCACAAGTCCCTTCCGTATTCTGGCGTATGAACAGTGTATTGTACATTAATGCAGTAGAGTGAACACACTTATTATGATCAGTCCTGTATATTTAAACGTGCATATATCTGTAGATATATGTACGGGTAAATATAACCGTTGCAGACAAAAGCCGTGGGCAATTCTTGCTAAAAGCAGCATTGTGTGGCAGTAATGTTCTTTGGGCTGTTCTTTGATTGGCGAATAGAGAATTCACAGGCAAGCTGCAGGCTGTCCGCACATCCTTGAGATTGCAAGGCCACTGATTTAGCATGCTCTGGCAGAATCGAACTTTGTGGATTTAACCCAAAATCTGCCAAAACGATTTGCGCGAGGGCATCCGACCCACGATCCATTGTCATGACGGCAGTGAAGAGCGTTGCTCTTTGCCTAACATCGAATACCTTTTACATGTATCTCATCTCGATATGTCTTATTGTCTCAAAAACATCTTGTGATATAGATTTTCGGTAATGTGCACAACAGACAACGATGAAAAGTTTGGATGAGAGATTTCATGGGATCGATGACCCTGGCCGCAGGGACTTAAGGCCCAGATTCAAGCACCCCCTATTGCGCTGTCGAGCGCCGATCTCAGAAAAGGGTCGCTGCAAAGAGGCGGGGCGAAATCGCGCGCCTTGGAGGGCCTGCCGCGCCATCGAGAGAGCACTGACGGCAGAAGAATTTCCAAAAAGGTTGTGTGTGACCGGCTTCTGCGCACCAATCAGTTGATGCTTTGTTGCACTCAAAATTGACGCAAAGAGCGCATTTGGGCAAGCTCGATTCCGCCTAGATGCAACACCTTGTGCATTGCTGCCATGATATTCAGCAGTTTGGTGCGCATTAAAGTGCGCAAGGAAAAGCGATGGTTGTGAATAGTTTAATTAGGTGAATGTAATGTTATTCATTAAGTTGTGCGAAAAGAGCACCTTCTTCGCTGGGCAGACCCCATCTTGATACAACAGGCACTTTGGCATGTTTTCCGTTTTGGCCACATTCTTTGTACGACAAATGCGGCTGCCTGTATTTGCCAATCGCCAAGTCGTTGCCCATTCGCATTGAAAGCCGCTTGGTCACAATTCCTTAGAAATAGCAAACAAACGAAAATAATGATAAATAATTGTTCTTGAAAATTCTATCAAGATGTCCAGTCGGCCAGTGTATAAGTTTCGAGTGCGGCGTCGGGAACCAAAAAGGGAAGATGCCCATAGGCCGCAAGTGTAAAGGGAATGACTGCAATTCTACTTTGAGTTTTGCTTTACTTTAATGTTAAATTAGAGACTTTGAAGTCTTTGACATGTTTGTGTCGCTGTTTTTGATGGGTTGCATGGCACTGGCTTGAGGGAAACGTCTGGTCATTGTTAGCCATACGCTGGGGCCTCAGCGGCTGATACGTCCAACGGTCATATGATTGCATTCTGCTGAGGATGGGCAATCCACAAGGGTACAACTGATGGAAGAAACATCGCGAGAAACGCGGCTGCAACTTCGTTGTTTTACTGTCCAAGCAGCTGGGACTTCCAAGTTGGAGCATGATTTCATTTCAATGAGGTTGTCACATACGTCGGATAGCCGATTCTGTGGCCAAGTTTCCACCGACTCGTGAAGCTTGTGTATACGTGAAAGCTCGACGTTCAGAGCAACAGGACGTGGATCGCCCAGTGGGACGGTAGTTCGCTAATACTCATTCCAAATCGGTATGTCACATTGAGAGTGAAAAGACTCAGAAAGCAACAACGACAAGCCGTGATTGGTGGTCCAAGGAATTTACAGGCGCGTCTGTCACAGCCCCTTTCATTGCGCCGTTGGTGAAGCGGCAGTGTTCGACGATGGGGACTGCAGGCAAACACAATCTCAGCACACATGAGTATAACATATATGTTGTTCAACTGTATTATCACTGTCCGCAGTTTGGTAGTTTATCGGCCTTTCATGAAATTTGCAGGGCCTCCGTTTGAATGCCGCCGGTTCCAGCAAGGCACAGCAAAGCATGGACCAGCCGGTGTTGCGGCCCATCAGTGGTTTGGGCCAAACGACATGAAGGCAGGACAGCCGACCACGAAAGCCCGAGCCGCACAGCAATGCTGTGGGCGTCGTATAGATTGGTATACGCTCTGGGTAAAACACGGCGAAAAACACGCGAATTCCTTTGTGAATTATGGGTGTTGAGCGTGGCGTTGGGCGCATGTTTGCCAAGATCTGGTGTAGACATCTGTAGTCAAGTGCGATGCAAATTCCGGGACAATCCATGTACGGCTTGGCAAATGACAGTGACTTCCACAACGTCCAATGCTCGGTGTTCTCACACCTAAACAAGCATTGCTCGTGCAGTCCATTTCTAAACGCTGGAAATTACTTTGGACAGGATATCTGGAGGGCACCTGAAACAAAGAAAACGCCCCTCTCGTCTGCACCACGCACTGGTTCTGAAAGGCCACAAGGCTAGCTGGGGCCCTCTAATGGCAGTGGCAGAGTCACGAGGCCAGCTTGTAAGAGTGAAACTTTTCGTTGTTCCTATTTCTTTGGAGGCAATCCATATGTGAGGGGGATTTTCACTGAATACGACTCACGGAAGAAGCACCAATATGGATCTCAATGATTTATCCCGCCTATGGTAAGGGGAGCCAGGAAAGGGCTTTGAGGCCTTCAGCGGCGTTGAATCAACAATCTTTGCCTGGGCTTCTCTCCTTGCGCACATGTGAGGTTTCGACTACATCAAGGTGATGCTGGCGTCAGTGGCCAATGAACTGCAGCGCGAGGCGGCACAACACCGTGCGGATTCAACAAAGCTAGCCATCGAATGGTCGGCAGAACGACGGGGACGCCAAGGCAACGTCCAAAAAGCACAGTGCCCCATCTGTGAAGTGCTGCCCGACCCACGTTCGGGTTCAGCCAGCAGCGCCACGACGACGGAGTGTGGATTCTGCATGGCTCAGAGCTTACGTCCCGACTGGATTTTCGTCCCTTTGGGTCCACGTCCGCAACTGTCGGCGTGGAAGCAGAGGGGTGTTGGCGCGGCGCCGGCCACCACAACGCGGGCCAAGATCGCACAGTTCATGGTGGCGTCTTAAGCGGTGCCCCCCCAAACGACCCCAACCCTCGAAACGCGCCGAGTTCATTGGGCACATCAGTTCAGCAGGTTAGGCACACCATACTGAGCTTACGAGTCCCGGCGTTACCAAAAGCACAACAACGCTGATCTGACTCCAGTTCAGGATAAACTACCACATCTGGCTGGCATCGGGCGACGCAATGGGGAGTCCTCACGCATCAATTTTCCATCTTCGCATACAGCCCTGCCTCCCACCCTGGCAGGAAAACGCGCATGTGGACCCTGCTGCCCGCCACTCCCTTTTCCAACAAGGCCTCCGCGATTCCTTGTCCGACACACGAGCACCTGGTCTCCCAAAGCGGGGCGGGGCTTCCAGATCAGCCAATACAAAGCATCCCTCACAAACAGAGGGCAGCTGCTGCAAGGGCAGGTCGTTGTGGCCAGTTTGACACAGCAGCAACAAGTTTGGGAGCCTGCCCGGAACGCACATCACTCACTGCTTGTGGTGTCCACAGGAGTCGTTGTCATATGATGCCGTTGCCAGCACAGACACATCAGGCGACCAGTCAAGAGTATCTGATGCAAGTGTTTACATTGTCAGAAGGGAGCCCATTCCCAGGAGTATCAAACCGCGTCCTGGCCTCCTGCCTGCCAGCATGACTTCAATCTTTGCACCAGAGATAGGGCGCTCCCCCTCTCTCAAAAAGCCTCTCACAGTCACCTGCAGCCGCCACCATGGGCCATTTGTGAAGGCCCGGACAGGCGCTGATCAACTCCTTTCGCCCAGCAGCAAGCCCATGGATAGTGGGGATCGCTCTTCTCAGTCGAACAAACTGAAGCCCATGTCCTGGAGAGCAAACAGGAGAATCAGCAACAGCCCCAGGCGCATAAAATGTACCAAGGTGTAGCATGCCTATGCTGGATGCCAATGTAAGCTCTGTTCCATACTCAAATTGTGTGTAGTTCATGCCCTGCAACGTCCCTGGCGTGATGCTTGCAGTTCAATTCAAACCACTCGCATGTGCGCCTGTGCCCAAAGCATCGATGCAAGTGGGTTGCGAGGCCTTGTGTGCCATTTAATATCAACAGGTTCTGCTGACAGTGAGGAGAGTGGACGAGCCACAATCAATCAAATGAAAAACACACAACTCATGCTAGCCAGTCAATCATCAACCAGCCCTCTTATCACAGCTTTGCATGTACTTCCGATGCAAACGATCTCTTGATTTCATTGTGCCGATAGGGATGCACCAGTGACACGGTCGCCTGTTGCACCAATCAGGCGCCATACACAGAGGATGCCACTGTGTTATCCTGTTCTGAGCTCAAGACAACTGCAATCCAACACCCCACTAGACCATGCTGTATTAGTCAATTTCCAAGCAGTCCTTCAATTCTCCAGTCTGCATCCATAGTCTGCTGACGGTCTAAAGGATCTAACCTCCATATCAACTCTGGACAACCTTGTGAGCACTGTGCCGCTTATGCTCATGGCGGCCATGAGTGTGGGTCATAGTATTGAACAGAATTCTCTGTGCTTGGGCAGTTTGCCTCATCAACATGCATAAGCATTGCGCATAGTTGAAGCAGTGCCGAAAGTGGGCCTAGGCTCAGGCATGCACCACTCTGTTTTGAACTACCCTGCCAGAAACACTTAGGAGCCTGTAACGAGTCGATAATGCAAGTGATGGCAAGAGATGCACCAACGCCAATGCTCAGAAGGTGTCCAGCTGGCCAACAATATGATATGCTTGTCTTTGCCTTTGAAAAGATGATCGCACTGCCCTGGGTGCATGTCTTTGCTCTACATGCCGCCCTGCAGTAGTTTTCCTATCACGGTTGCAGCTTTTACGCAAATGTTCATGAAGCTCGACATGATGCCAACAAACGCTTTGCTCAGGAGCTAGGCACACTCTGTGACACGACCCCTTTGTTGTCGCAATGTGTAATCGACCATTCCCCACCCCATAGCAGGAAAAGCTGACGCTATCTACTGATCTAAACCCAGTCAACAAGCACATCCCATGGCCAGCATTCCAGTTTTCATCCGCTAACATGGCTATATTCATGCGTCAACGTCACGGAAAACACCTCCACAAGCCTTGCCACTCATGTGGGGTTTGCTCAACGTCCCACAAGTTGCAGCACGTTTTCAACCGAGCACCACCCACCTATGCCCAAAACCGCCTTCCCAGGCGCAAGAGCCTCCTTGCCATTTGTTTTCGGCAAATACAGGCAACGGAGTTCATACACCGCCCCATCAGAAACCCCTTCAACGGAGACCAACCCTTCCGCACAGAAAACCCCTTCAACACAGAAAGCCGTTTAACGGGCTCCCAGATTCCCAAGCACACGATTTCAGCAAACTCACCTCGTCCTCCTCCTCCTCCTCCTCGCTCTCCTCCTTCTTGGCCTCCTCCGCGCCGGCGTCCCCGCCGCCGGCCGCCGCCCCCCCGGCGCCCCCGGCAGCAGGTGCGCCGCCACCCCCTGGGCGCCACACAATCCAATCCAATCACATCGCATCACATCACCTCCCAGCTCAACCCACCCTGCCTATCAACCGCCAAGCAACCCGGGGCAATCGATCACGCACAAGCCCAGAGAATCAAGCCGCCAAGCCGCCGCCAGGCAAGGGAAGGTGAGAGATTCAATTCATTCGACCCGATGCGGTCCCGCCCGTGCGCCGCTCCCGGCCAGCCGCCACTCACCGGCGCCGACGTTGCATATCAAGTCGCCGATGGACTTGGTCTCGAACAGCCGCGCGAAGAGCGCCGGCCAGTAGGGCTCCACGGTCACGCCGGCCGCCTTGGTCAGTGTCATGATCTTGTCAGCCTGTCGCACACCGCCCAACGCCACCACAGTCAGCGGGCAAGTCCACAGCCGCGACTCAAAACCCCAGGCCAGGCGCGATCTCCCCCTTTCTCCCATCAGCTGTCTCAGCCCCCACAGATTTTCCTCCCACCGCCCCGATACCCCCGTCCCCGACGACCAACCGCCGCCCCGAACACACAGTGCACACATTGCACCATCGCCCCAAAGCAACGCAGCGCAGTCTCAGCACACCGCCCGACAGCCATCCATTCAATCCACCGGCGACGCTGCCCTCAGCAGAATGCGGCTCGCTGCGCCGGCAGCTCCAAAAACATGCAGGCCGTGGATCTGAGGCGGTGCAGCATGGGCCGCCGGGGCGCCCTCACCGTGATCTCGAGGCCGTCATCGTGGAGGATGAGCGCCGCGTAGGTGCACGCCAGCTCGGAGGTGCCCATGCTGCGGCGCTACGCGCGTTCGAGGCGCGGCCGGAGGTGTGCTGCTCGTGTGAAACTGGGGTGCGCCTGGGGAGAATATATCGTTTGCTGAGTCGATTTTTGCTGAAATTCCTCCATTTCTTGGCGGATTTACTAGTGCTAATAACATTAAAAAATGTCAGGATTATCAATAAATTGTTAAATGTAGCTGATGTACTGTTCATGCAACTGTCTCAAACGCGGTTGCATGTTGCAGCTTAGATCTGTGATTCCCCAATAATGGGAGAGTTGAAGAGATATAGTGTGTTTTTTGGTGGATTCAATAAGGCAACCGGGCCTGTATCCGCTGTGAGTCATCCGGAAGCAGCGAACGCGCTATGGGCTCGTTGCACGTCGCTCACCGATTTTATGTCAGAATATGAGCCAATGGGTGCACAACAGCCCAACATGCTGCAGATGCCTGTGAACATTTCTGTAGTTGCACGACCACTGGATTCGCAACATCTGCAACAAGCAGCACAGTAGTGTGTGTCCATCCCATCTGTGCAAAGTACTCCCAGGACGGAGGGGCATTCAGAAAGCTTGCAAAATCAAGCGCGAACGCAGTGTAGCATGAGTCAGACCCTGCCAGCAAAGATCCTATTTAACGAATAGCTTCGCCGATGTGCTTGTCCCACCAGCATCCAAGAGAAGCAAGGTTCTGTTTGGTCTCCCGCCGTGATACATGTCTGCTGTACACGTGGACGAAAAGCGCACATCTAGGCCATTTTGCCACGTGCACATTCGTTGTCAACAGGTTTCAATCCAGCCAGTGTTCTAACAAGGCCATGGCCCTGGGCTCCAGGGCGCCATAGCACACATGTGAAGGTGCAGGCATGTGCAACTTGATGCTCGCGCAATGGAGCACACTGACATTTCGTTTGACGGCATTTGCTGCGGCTGCCATGCAGCAATGCACACGAATAGCATGGTCAGATTCTACACTGTTAAGAGCATTACAAAAGTCTGTGCCACGCTTGTGAAGCAACAAAAAGGCAACGTCCACATTATTCGTCCACAGCCACTTCCAGCCAGCCGTCTTAAAGCAGCACAGGGTAGAACAGATCGCCGCCACGCAGCTCACCACACCGATCACCACCACACGACACCAGCAACAGCAACCCACAAAGATGGCCTGCGCAAATCTATCCCACCCCCCTGGCCAGGCAGCCATCCTCAATGGCGCCATTTTCCTCAGTCCCCCTTACCACAGCCAACCAAACCACCAAAGCAAATCACACGCATGCCCCTTTCCACAAACTTGCAACCTCCACACCTTGTTCAGAACCTTGAGAGCATTTCAATGGCAACACTGAAGAATTCTCCACTCCCGGACAAATGCCATCGACAGGTTGTCTCCCATTCGCCGCACACTGCCCCCATGTTCAGTACCTTGTGAGGGTGTCGATGACCGTGTTCAGATCAATGGACTTCCCCTGGTTGACCATGTCTGTCACGATCGACCGCACTCGGGTGCGGTCGAACCCCATGGCCGTGACATCATTGATCACCTGTTCCAGAGGCACGGACTGCGTGGTCGTCCTTGTCCCGACCTGACCGCCCGGAGGCCCACCCACAGGCGGTGGACCCTGACCAAACCCACCAGGTCGCCCAGACAACGGGGGCGCCATAGCACCGCTGCCATAAGGCGCCCGAGCACTGCCCATTCCCGTGTTCAGCTGCTGGTACGCTGGGGGCCCTCCTGTGCGCGCCGACATGGGCGGCACCGAAAACTGCAAAGGTTCTTGCTGGGGGGGAGGTGGCCCAGGGGGCGGCGGCGCGGGCGCCATGCCGTGCATGCTTGGGTATCCATGCTGCGGCAGCGCAGGGGGGGCCATTTGCTGCAGGGGGGGCTGGGGCATGCGCTGCTGCGGCTGCTGCTGTTGGGAGACGGATGGAGTCTGGTACATCTGCAGGGGAGGCCCTTGTGGAGGCCCTTGTGGAGGCCCTTGTGGGGGCCCTTGTGGGGCCCCTGGTGGCGGCCCTGGTGGCGGCCCAGGAGGAGGGGGGGCCTGCTGCTGCACTGGCTGCTGAGGCAGTCGAGGCGGGAAGCTCTGTAGGGGTGCCATCTGCTGTGACACCTGGGGAGCCCCGCCGAGGGACATGCTGTACACAGGGGCAGGAGGGGGCACCGGGGGCGGGGGAGGGGGGGCCTGCACGACTGGCTGGGGTTGGGCCTGGGGAGGGGGGTGGACGACTGCAGAATCGACAGCCTGGGAAGAGGCCGGGGCGAGCTGTGGCGGCGGGGCTGCAGGTTGAGCCACAGGCTGAGGGGTGGATGGAACAGCTGGCCGAGTCACCGCCTGGGCCACGGGCTTGGAAACGGGTTGACTGGCATCCATGGACGCAACAGGCGCTGGTGGCGCCACTGGCGCTGCTGCTGGCTGTGGCGCCGGCTGGGCTGGCGGCGCCGCTGGCTGGGTTGGCGGGTTGGGCTGCTCAACGCCCACGGATGGTCCGTCCTTCCCTCCGCTCTTCACTGATATCAGCTCCGGACCCTCGCCTGACTCGGTGGCCTGTTTGGCTTCCTGCCTCGCCTCCCGGCCATGGCCCTTGCTCTGATTCAGGTTCGCAAGCATCACATGCGCATCCATCAGCTCCTGCTTGTCCAGCAGCCGCTGCAGGTGCAGCCCCTGGTCCCTGATGGCCGTGGCGAGGCCGCCCAGCCTGTCCATTGCCTGGTTGGCCCCCTCCGCAGCCTCGCCTCGAGACGCCTCCAACGCCGCCTTCAACTCCTTGCACTCGCCCTCAATTCTCCCCAGGCGTGCGGACACATCCCCCAGGCATGCCCTCAGGGTGTTTGTCAGGGCGCTCAGGCTCTCGAACACGATCTCCCTGGCCACTCCCCGCACTATCTCGTCCATTTCCTCCCTCTTTAAGGGCTGGATCAATGGCGGCATCTTCTGCCCAACCGGCTCGGACGACACCTGCACCTGAATGGACCCGCCGCCGTCCCCATCGCCCTTTCGCGCGTCGTTCATTGAAGGTGGGGGCGGCTCCACGGGCTCCAGCTTCCTGGTGGGCTGCAGGCCGGACAGCAGGTCCGCGAATATGTCGTCCTCTTCCATGCCTGCAAGACAGACCGCCGCGCTGAGTTCGGCCACCCCTTCCCCGCAGCTGCTTGCCGTCTGCCGTCCTGGCCACCCCTCGCGACTACGTGGCGCCGCCCCGCTCCCGCCCGCCGATAGGACATGGCAAAGTAGCCGCGCCTACAGCGGGAAACAACCCAAACGCGCACCAAACCGACCGGTCCGCGTTGGCCACCGTCCAGGCGATCCATCCACACGTCCAAAACGCACAACCAAACCAAATTCCTCTGAGATCCGACCGCCGACAATCCTCGACCGCCCAGTTTTCGCAACGCCTCGCGGCAGCTCGCCAAGGCGATGCGATGACCACCAGAACCGAAGCTACAGGCCAGCCAGCTGGCCGCTTCGGCAGCGCTTTCAGTAAACAGTTCGGTGCCCCGGCCCCACGACTTGGCCGCCCACGGCGCGCGCTGGGAACGCCCTCGAGCGGCAAGACTAGATCGATCGGACGACGCGCGGCATCCGGGGACTTGCTCCGTGCTGCCCGCACCTGCGACGTGTCGATTTCCAAGAGAAGGTGGATAGCGAGCGGACCCTTGGTCGCGGGGCGAGAAAGAGGGGGACGCCGCCTGAAGGGGGAGGCAAAGGGGGGTGTTCCACTGGGTGCGCCCAGCGTCCTGGATATGGGACGGTGTTCTCGAGCTGCGCGAGGGGGGTTCGCTGTCTGGCACGGAGGGTTGGAGGGGTCTTCGAGAAATGGGCGGGTCGCAGCGTCAGAAACGCATTTTTTAGGCGGCTTAGGGAAGCCACAGGGCGCCGAATAAAAAAATTCGCTCGTGTGGGCATATTCCCAGGTTCCAAACCCACCAAGCCTCAGGCAAAGGCGGTTATGCTGCTGTTTGCCCTGACATGTTGATCATTTTGAAAGCGAGTGTCCGATAGGCATCACGACAAGGGTGGCAACCGCGACCTCTGATCGTGCCCTGAGATGGGGATGAACCGCCCTTGGCCGATGGTTGTTGAAAACGCTCCAAGTGGTGATCCCCGATGGTGATTGCCAAAAGAGCTGCAGGCAGTATTTGCGATGCTCTTTCTGCTTCAGCAGTACAGTGGGCCTGATTTGCCACCGCTAACCTCTTGCTCAGGGGGAGCATGTCAGTTGTTTATTGCACCCAGCCACTCAGAATGATGCCTTGCAAGCAATTCATGCATTCGTGGGCAGCTGGGTTGTGTCAGTCCCAAACAATGGCATCTTTGGCCCAGCTGACAGCTGCAAGCAGGGTCAGCCCAGCCAACGAAGCACTGTTTGGCAGTTTTTCTGGAGTGGGTTCTGCAGTGGTAGCGTTGTCCTCCCCTGACCAAGCCCAGGGGAATCAGCATTCCTAGCAAAAAAAGAGTCTGAATGTCAAAGCACCTGAGACCCATGCCTTGTTGCGGTTCAGCCGTGGGATCTATACACAACACCAACGACGGTCACACACCTTACAATGCGCATGCATGTTCCATACGTTAATGCGCATCGCCATCTTGAGTTGAGATAGGGACACACACGCGGCAGAGTCCTGGTGAGTGTGGCCCTGTAACATCCCCAGGCACGACCTGTCACGTACTGAGCAAGCAGTCGAACTCCATATCCTGTTACACTTAAATTACAGTCATATCACCACGCCCGTTTTTGCGGTCCTGCATGCTTGGATCTTGTCCAGACATTGCCCGATGCACTCTGCACCGCCAGCAGATGCCACCCAACGTCACAAGCCACAAATTGACTGGAGCCACGTCCAGCAGGCACCGATCGCCCCATCTACTAACTCATGTTTAGTGCTGTCGTGGTCACTCGTGTGCATTCTCCTAGCTATGTTCGATCAGACAGGCTTTTGTGGAAGTCTTACATGGCTGCGAACTCACGCACCCGTGCATCTGAGATGGGCAAAGAGCGCAGTACTCCTGCTGCATCATCCCACATATGGCCTTTTTCGACTCCCCTCCTTTGCCATTGGTTGAGAACCTCAGCTGGCGTGTGCTTCACAAAATCCCATTTCCTCCGCAGGAGTTCACTCTCATGCTGGCGATAAAATACCCTGCCTCCCAAACCGGCTGCTCTGCGCGCACTCCTGCACGCCTTCACATAGTCAAAATATGCGGACACTGTGGAGGCATACTGCCGCTTCCTTTCAACATCGTGCTCCACATCAAAATCATCGTTGCAGTCCAGCACCAGGGCAGGGACACAGGAGATCGCCGCCTTCACCTCGTTCGGAACGTCGTTCTGGTCGTTTGGCGGATCGGCACTCAGCACCCCCTTCCTTCCCAGCCAGATCACAGAACCTTCCAGTAGCTTGGGCAGGGGCGGGAGGTTCGGCGGTTCTGGTGCCCGCATTATGTGCGCCTCCGAGCTCTGGCTGCTGGGGACCAGAATGCTTGTCGTGTGGATCGACGGCTTCTCTTGATAGAACCAGTCTTCATGCTTCACGTGGAGGCCCTCCAGATAGCTCATGTCCAAACCGACCTCCTCCGAACGAGCCCTCCTCTTGAGTCTCTCCATGCAGGTCGATGGCTCCGCCCTCAGGTAGATGAACCCATCGGGCACCAGCCCAGGCACTTCAAGCAGAAACGGCTGAAACCAAGCATCATACAGCTTCAAGTGAAAATCGTCCATCCATTTTGCCTCGTGCACAGCGCGCACAAACACCAGCCGATCGCTGAAGACTGAACGTTCCAGTAGCCTCAGGGGCTTGGCACCATCCCAGCTCTGGTGGTTTATCTTGAGTCTTGTGAGAAAGACGTAGTTCTGAAACTCGTAGGCGAACCTCTTTGGGTTGGAGTAGAAGCGATCGAGAAAATTGAAGTTGACATCGTTTCCCACCTTCTGCCACATGTCCACTGGTTCCTGCACAACCTGTTTTTGGAGTGGACACCAAGCAACTCAGTGGTGCATAAGATAAAGCGGAAGACACGTTCCTCGCCACACAGTCTGCAGGCAGTTGCTGCCTGCCAGACATCCTGCCATCACGATGCAACTTTGGAGCAGTGAAATTCTAACAGAATTTCACGATGCTCATTCTCTGGCCACCAACACCAATAATGCAAAGCTGTCAAAAAAAAAAGGATGGCACTAGCCCGCACATAATACTGCCAAAGAATTCTCAACCCACATCAGCTGGAAGCCAGCTGTTGCTACTGTCGCCACACCCAAGAGATTTCCACATAAACTTCTGCAGTTTGGAAAGTGCCATGCACAAAGTTTGCACAGGAGATGAGTGCCCATTTTTACGACCCATCCCCTTCTGCTTGAAAAGTATATTGCTGGCCACACGCTGGAGGTGCTTATAAGCAGAATATACCAGCAGCACTGAGAAGCCATTGTTGTTTTAAGAGGGAGTGCTGGCTGTTTGACACGATTTCTTTACTTGATCATAATTGGTGTGCGTGAACAGCCAGACTGGTTGTGCACAAGGGGCTTCACAGTGCTGATTGCACTCAGAGATGACACGCAGGTTGTGGATTTCTTTAGAGATTGATGATTATGTGACAGAGAAATGATGTCGTTCACCATTGATTCTGCATGCGGCATTACTCACAACAACAATAACAATTCTCCAGTTTCGACTCTGCCAATTGATGCAATTCTTGGAACAAAAAACAAAGACAGCAACTGCGGCAGCCAAAAGCAGAAACCTCTCAACAGTTTTACAAGTGGACGCCGCCCTCCTTTTTTGCTGACAACAATTTGTTGAGTCCTGGGCAAGCGCTGTTCGAGTTGTAAGGAGCGCACCAAAGTGCCTGCAATAGCATTCTGCTTCCAAAGGTCCTGAATGCAACGAAGTGTATCCTTGCTCAACGGCCACACCCATCGGCTGCCAGCAAACAGTGACGATTTATTCTCTGGTCACGCACACACCTTGGGAGTGCATGCATGTTGCTTGCCTGCATGCTGTCGATGGCTCCTGAGAGCCGAAAAGGCCAAGAGGGGTCAACCCACTCATGGTAGGAGGCGATGCTTCAATGCACGATATGTCATTTTTCCTGGACTTTACGGCAACTGCGGTGAGCCTCACACCCGTCGACCAGGACCCTTTGACATCAAGCCAATGGGCAGAATGTGGAGCACTGATCTTTGTAATTGACCCAACGTCGCTTGGATGTTTCCGAGCCAATCGACCCCATGAAGGAGCCAGGGCTCAGCTTGTCAACGTCCCCTCGACAACGGCAGCCCCTGCACTCACCTCCACGAGGTCCCTGAGCTCCATGGGCGTGTCCAGCAGGTTGCTCAGGAAGGTGCTCTTCCCCGCGCTGATGTTCCCCTCCACGCTGAACGTCACCCGCTCCCCGGCCCCCGCGGCGCCGGCCAGATACCCCGCGATCGACGCGCAGTGCCCCCGGTGCCGAATCCCCACCTCCCCCCTCAGGTACTCCACCATCTTCTCCACGTCCCGCTCAAGCTGAACCCGGAACACCGAGCTCAGCTCCCCAATGCTGCATATCCCCTTCGCCTTCAGCAGCTGCTCGTGCTTGGGCCCAATCCCCGGCACCGCCCTCAGACAACCGCTTCCGTTTTGGGCCCCACTTTCTTCGGCCAATTTGTCCTCCTCCGCGCCAGCGCCGGCAGCCGTTGCAAAGGTGTGGCCGGGCGCACGCATTGGTCCAACCTTTCCCTCCTCTGCGCCAACGCCCGCCGCTGTGGCAAAGGCGTGGCCGCGCGAACACCATGGCGCGTAACGCCAAGTTACGCACCTACTTGTGGCGCTGGCGAGCGTCCTGAGGCAGCCAGCGCCGGGGGCTGTCGCCATCAATTCGCTGAGAAGTGCTGGGAGCATCCGTGTTGCGCCCGTGGGTGCAGATTTGGTCAGGTCCCAGGCGGCAGGTTGGGGCACCCGCGCGGTGCACGTATGGGGCTGGGCGGGCGTGTGGCGCGTTCGCCCTGGCGTGGTCGTGGGCAACGCAGGGTTTGGAGCTGGCGAGGGGCTGATGTCTTGGTGCGTCGGACGAATTTGCGGACCAGCTCTCCGCCCCGCCCTTAGTCAGACGCCCTTTTTCTCCGCTGGCGCAGGGACTTTCTTGCCTGTTTCT